TTTTATGCATGGTCCAGTTCTTGATGCTGATTTTAAATTTACATCCCAAAATCATCTCGATTTTGTTTGTCAATTTTGACCCTTGCAAAGATCAGTAAATTCGTTGACCTGAAATGAACTTGGGCAACCTCGTGCTTAGAAAAAGCGCCTCGGCCCACGATGGTTGCTTGAAGAGATGTGGGGGACTTTCTGTTACTGATTTCTTGCTTGACCGTGTTTGGTTAAAGCTGACCAAAACGTTATGACTCAAACATTTTTTGTGTGTAAATTTTAGAAGCGAGTACAGTGCTTTCTATTCTGCCATTCCACCACCTATGCTATCCTGTGAATTTGATGTATTTTGTCTCTTGCTTTTTGACGTCTCAGAGGTCTTCCACCCACCCCTCCACAAACTCCCCCCCCCCCCCCCCCCAACCACCCGAGCACATTGCATTCAAACGGCGGCCCGGGCGCGTTTTAACGGGAATGCTCCACATTTGAAGATGATGAGGTAGGCGTCAGGGTTTGAGAAAAAGCTTTGTTTTAGCTATTGGTTTGCTTTGACATGTTAGACTGCTCTAAACAACATAATTTCATTGTTTACTGACGTATTGATGGCGTACACGATGTCCGTATTGAGGAATACACACATATATATATATATATATATATATATATATATATATATATATATATATATATAACATAATACAACATGTTCCTCAATGTGTCTTCGTTTGACTCGTCATGGAATGTCTTTAAGAAGTCAGAGTTGCTGCCAGACTGGCTTGTCAGAATTGTCGTTGTAGCCGTCTGGCCGACTAGGCTGCAGTGCTTGCACGCTCCGAGAAGTAGCGGTTTTTGCTGGGTCGTGTTTGCTGAACCTGAATATAGTTATGCGATCGTGTTTTGGCCTTTCTCGTGGTGTTGCTGCACATTTGTCAGTTATTTCATCGTTTATACTTGCATTCACATGCTGGCTTATGGCGCCCTGATATAGTTATTTAATTTCCAATCTTATTTCTGTCGTAACTCGCACCACTACAATGGCTAGACTCCTGCATTATGTAGCACAAAACGTGATTCATGTTCGAACATCCGTTCCTGTGATCCTCTGTCTAGCGTCATCTTGCATCCTCGCGACTCACCGCTTGCCTGGGGAAAGCTAGATGTGCCGGCCACGAATGGGCCAAATTGTCCACTGTTTGGGGCCCCCGTCTGAGCCCCTTGCACACACCCGGAAAGGGGAACCTGTGTGGGCAAAGTCTCGGTGATCGGGTCCCCAGGTGCACACAGTCCTGGCTCACCATCATCCATTCTCCTTCACACCATGGTCCCGAAAGTGGGCATCTCCGACAGAAGCAGTTGTATTCCAAATAACCAAAAACAAAGTCGTATTTAAAACTTGCCACCGACGCATTCAAGTGGGTGAACGCCAAATGACATCCGTTAAAACACGCGCTCGTGTGGGGATCACTTTGACCCCGCTCAAGGCTTTTCCAGAATGATTTTCGGACAGCGCAGCAAAGCCGCGCCAAATTTTGTACAGCTGTAGACAGCTACATAGCGGATCTTTTGGCGTCAAAAATTTAGATGTACTCGGAAGAGCACTGACCTGTGGCAGGTCAAAGTCAGGCCCTGGTTTCAGCGAACGCAATTTCTGGGGAATCGTTCAACCTGATGCAACAGCGGAATGTTAGACGAATCCATACGCCCCTGAAATAGTTTCCTTCAAACACTTCCAATTAACAAATTTCATTAACCCAGGGTCAGAAATGAAGGTCAGAAGCAGCCCGTATTTTCTTAGTCGAAAGATTTCTGTATGAGATAGTTTCTGGCGCTTGTTTTGAATCTTGTTATGACAGGAGCCACGTGATACACATATTCCATGATGTTTTCAAAGGTCAGAACAGGTCACTGGCCTCAACGACCCAGGTCAACATTTTTTGTTTTGTTTTGTTGGAAACATACCACCTAGCTTATTCCTCGACACTTAATCAAATGCAAAACATCAAATCAGTCGTGTATGATTTTGGTCACCATGACCTCCTAAAGGTCAAACAAGGTCACTGACCTTAAGCGAACACCCGTACCATTTTGCTGAGAGCAGGTATTTAGGTTCACAGCGGTTGCATGAGGCCAGGGGCACTTCGGATACCAATCCTGAATTTGACCTTGTTTAACGTTATGTGGCGCAAAGGTCATGACCTAGAATCTCAAATTTGGGGAGAAGTGATGTCATGTACAAATCAACACACCCTGTGGATTTGATCTCTCTAGCCTCCTTACTTTCTGAGATCTCGGCGGCAAACTGTCAAATTGACCCTACCCCATCCCAATCAAGGGTAGTTAACCGGCCACCCGGGCGCGTGGTCATACCGCAAATCGTGCTCACACACGCCAGACATGAATGCTTCTCTGGTCATGTTTCATTTTGACCTCAAGCACTACGTGGTCAATGAGGTGGCGGTATTCACGTGGCATTCCATGGCGCCATGCCTCACTGGCTAACCTCAAAATATTGTGCACGTAATAGCCTGCACATGTTCGCGGGCGTCAGGTTCACAAACAGGGCGGTGTTAAGTCCTTAATAACCGTGTGGCTGAGATCTGCTCTTAATGATCTTGCACCGTCCAACTCAGTCCGAAAAGCCATAAAATGTGGAGCATCCCTTTTAAAAGTGTAATGCACTAGAACGTCACCTCAAACCAACTGAAGTCGACCAGGCTCCCAAAGCACGTCGATGTAGTATGACATTCCGTTCATGCGCGCGTCCCGTACCATTTTAATGTATTTGGCGACGGATTATACGGGCCGTTATGGAAAAATGTTTACCGCCCTGGATTCAGGCTGGGACTGAAGATTCGTGAAACAGGGGGAAGCGCGATGAATCGTAATTCAGGACGTGCTAGTACCCCAGGACCACACCGAACGCCTAGATAGCCCAGCAGACCTCCCCATCTTGATTGTTATTCGTGCATTCAATGATAATGAATCGTGTGTTTAAAATATGTAATTAGTGAATGTAAAACAATAAACGTAATCGCCTTTCGGTTAATATTATCCCGCAATGGCTCTTATGTCAGGTCAGGAGAGTATTTCGAGGGCAAAACAAGAGTTCTGCAGCAACGCCGAATTCTAACGGATGGTTGTCATCTAGTGCGCTATGCAACTCATCCCCCCCCCCCCCCCCCCATCAACAGCGTAAAACATATTTGAGTTGTCCTAACGACACATGAGACTTTCTAAAACATTTAAGGTATCCTAAGAAAATCCTGGGTGCGCACATGGAGACTGGGTAATGTAAGCTGCACATTCCCTGATCGACCAACAACTAGATCGGACGTGCACCGATGCACTCTTTTTCTGGCCTGATATCCCAACAATTCTTACATGCCTTCGTGTGACTCTCCTTATAATATCGTTATGTGCGACTGCTTCAGCGCATGCAAAGACTGATTCTATCCTGCTGAGATATTTGACTCCGCCAGCGGCTCCCTCTTGAATGCGGACAGAAGTACATCACGTCTCAGCGTTCTTAGCTTATCCTCGGTAACCGCACCAGCACGGGAAATGTTGGCATTTCCGGAGTGCCCGCGGGGTTGGCGTGGGGCTCCATCAGTGCGACACTTGAGCTAGATGGAGCCGGCGAGGATGGAATTTGTGGTTGTAGAGCTTGAGTGGAGACCGCCCTCAGTGCTGAGCCATCGGTAGTGCTGTAACGTTCAGTGGTGAATTGGGCGTTGTAATGGCTGGGGATGACCAAAGATCGGGCTGCTTTCCTTCATCTTACTGGATGTGCCATCAGCGTATTCCAAAGTGGGCATGGTGAACGATTTTCGCACTATTACCCTATCGGATGGCTAACTTCGGAGCTTTCCCCGGTAGGTTCGGTGCTTTTTCAGGCCAGGGACATGTGTTGACAGAACAGTAGAAATAGCATGGTAACATGAAATCAAACATAGTATTAAGCAGTACGCAAACAGTACGAAACTAGCAGTATGACGGCATGAAACAAACACTGAAACTATGCCCCTGGCGTTCATAAAACGATTGTACATTAACTATTCCAAAAAGATGTCCAAATTTTAGTCGTTGGGTGCAGCCCTGTCACAATTAGATCTTACAAACATTTGCCACACTTTGCAGAATGGAACATGGGATATGTAGTGATATGAATTTCACCATTTCATTTTTCTGCATGCATGCAATATTGTATATATGGCTCAAACATCCACCTTTGGCATTTGCAACATCAGGTTTCGCCCAAGGCTGGTTCGCAAAATGTCTGCAGACGTGGAGAATCGCTGCTTCACCACAATAACCCCAGATTCACTGAAATCATCATTTCTTGTCCACACACGCAAATGTGTCGCGTGCGTGCTTGTGCATGCTTGTTGTGCACATGCACGCGCGTGTGCGTGTGTGCGTGCGTGTGCGTGCGTTGTGTGCGTGTACGTGTGTTTGTGTGTGCGTGTGTGTGTCACTCAGCTGCTGAGGCCATGTTGCGTCGCCTGCCTCTCACCCTGGTAGAACGTGCGGGCACCGCGGGGAATCCAACCATGTACCTCTAGTTTTCAGGTCGTGCAGCGGTTGACGCGGACGCGTCAACCACTGCACTAAACGCACACGGTCCGGCAGATCAAATTCCACTCCCCAGATCCTATGAAGATGCAGGGCTAATGGGTATACAGGGCACCACACGAGATAAATCCTGTGTCAGATCAAAAGTTATGAGCCATTTTGGGGATATAGGTAAATAAAACGGTAGACCGAACATCATGCAGAGAAAATGTTAGAAAAACAAAACAAATGTCCCCATTCACTGGAAAACTGCACTACTATGCACGGGGGGTGCGTGCCCTTTCAGCCGCACATCCAAACACGTCCAATTCATCAAAAGATGCTCTGTAACTATACACCCGGCGCAAGAGCGCAACACAAGAGCGTAGTTCCCTTTTTGGTGATGGTGAGGAGTCACAGTTCCCCAACCCTGCGAGGAAAGTGGTTCAAACTCAAGGAGAAGCGCGTTCTGGTGTATTACTTTGGTAGCATCACTTGTCGACCGGGCAGCCGGACGCAGGAGCTTTCACCGGCTGGTCAAGCATCTGCTAGACTCACAACACAATCACGTGGAGCGGTCCAACATAACAATAAATAGATGCCCGCGATGGGTGGGCAGTTCAGATCCCATTAAGACCGCCCGTACCACTCAGCACTCAGAGGACTGTCTCAGTCTCACGTCACTCCCCGCCTGGCCCCCATCCCAGGGTGTGGCGTTGCCGCCGGCCGTGGCCGCCACTGCCGGGTGCCGGCGCCGATCCGATGACGCCCAACACTCTGCCTCGCCGGCGCCGAGCGGCTCGGCTCGGCTCGGCCCAGCCCGGCATCCTTCACAGCGCATCACTTGGCCGCCAGCTCCGCACGCGACACCTGGTGCTCCAGCTGCACGAGCGTGCCGGCCAGCGTGGACACCACTTGACTGTAGGCGCACGCCAGCTGCTGCGAGCGTGCCTGAAGCCGCGCCAGCCGCTCCGTCTGCGCCAGGTGGCACTCGCTGACCGCCTGCAGACGCTGGCGCAGGTCCCCGGCGCCTGTGCACAGCGCGAGCCGCGTCACGGGTCGGCACCGGGGCGAAACGGACCGCCCCTGACGGACGGACACGGACACGGACACGGACACGGACACGATGGACCTGTGGTGACCGAGGCCGGATTTTTGCTCTTTGATCTTACTAAAAAAACAACGGAGAACACACACACACACACACACGTACTGGTCATGATGCTTCCGCCACTACTCCAAGCACAAACACCAAGTCATGCGGTTTATCAGACGAGATGCGCTAGAAAATTAGTTTGTGTGTTACACATGTCCATTGGATACATAATCTTCGAATACATTCGGATACTGTGTCCTTTTTCATGATTTTTTACTCTTTACTAATGCTGTAAAATTTTTACCATAGCAAGGGCACTGCGAATGGTGAGTACGTGGTCGTGTTGCCCCCGTTATAGGATGTGCTTTTATTCTACGATTCCATTATGCGATTACAAAGGTTACCACCGAAAACAAAAACCTTATTGCATGAGCCACAGGTTTTTGCTCGCTCTCAAAGCACAAATCTAATTTTATTCGACCCAGTCTCTTTAAGCCCCAGCGGAGGATGACCAGCACACTCCACAAGTAGTTTGCAGAAAGCTAAGCCTAGCATTCTGCACAGCTAGCCACCAATGTTCTGCAGCCACCGCAGGTCACGCACATTGCCTTGTTTCACGGTCAAGTCGACGAGAGTGCGACATTCTTCTCCTAGATTTACGAACGGCGAACAGACAAGAAAAAGCAACCAGCCATCAAACTATCACCAAATTTTGATTTAAGACCAAACAAAGACACTGCCACCGCTGGTACCCGACCGAGGCGGGCCCCAGGGGCAGCCGCTGCCACCCCTGGTACTCCACCGAGGCGTGTCCGAGGGTCGGCCGCTGCCACCGCCGGTACCCGACCGATGCGGGCACGAGGGTCGGCCGCTGCCACCGCCGGTACCCCACCGAGGCGTGTCCGAGGGTCGGCCGCTGCCACCGCCGGTACCCGACCGATGCGGGCACGAGGGTCGGCCGCTGCCACCGCCGGTACCCCACCGAGGCGTGTCCGAGGGTCGGCCGCTGCCACCGCCGGTACCCGACCGATGCGGGCACGAGGGTCGGCCGCTGCCACCGCCGGTACCCCACCGAGGCGTGTCCGAGGGTCGGCCGCTGCCACCGCCGGTACCCGACCGATGCGGGCACGAGGGTCGGCCGCTGCCACCGCCGGTACCCCACCGAGGCGTGTCCGAGGGTCGGCCGCTGCCACCGCCGGTACCCGACCGAGGCGGGCACGAGGGTCAGCCGCTGCCACCGCCGGTACCCCACCGAGGCGTGTCCGAGGGTCAGTCGTCGCCACCGCTGGTACCCCACCGAGGCACGTCAAAGTGTCAGCCGCTGCCGCACCTTTGATGTGCTCGCTGTCGAGAAGCGGCAGCAGCTGCTGCACAGCCTCTAGCTGCTGGGCCAGCTGACGGATCTGCGCCTGGGTACCGAGCAGCTCAGCAGCGCGGCTGGCAGGCGTGGTGGTCAGCTGCTCGCCGTACAGAGGGTCCAGGTACGACTCGAGCTCGTCCACTGCGCCGGCGAAGACAGAGGGCGCGCGCCGGTCAGGCCCCGTACCCAGCCAACACCACACAGTCGCGCGGAGCCGCTGCACGCGCATCACCGCCACGGACATCAGTGACACCAGGCCAGACGCACATGTAAGATCATGATTTAGCCTCACAACGCAGCAGATTGACTAATTGTGTAACAGTCCTTTGGAAAGAAAAAAAACAATGCGGAAGGCACGACACTGCGCACAATATTTCACGACAACCAGGGGAGACAGACATTTCGCCTAAATGAACTGACCAGTGTGTAAATCAGCCCATCCCAGAAACTTACGCCTCTTCATGATCATTACGGCACGCTCGTAGTCTCCGAGCACGTTGCCTAGGCGGTTGTTGAATCCGAGGATCACGTCCGTCGCCTGTGGTTTAGAAACGGACATGTCCAAATCCACAGCGTTTAATGTTTAGAACATCGAACGGCCATGTCGAACATGAGTTTTGGTACCTGCCGCTCGATGGCACAGCAATGCGCATTTTTTTCAAATCGTACCGCTAGATGGCACATTACCACATCCCTCTTTTACCAACAGATGGCTTAGTCAACCCAGCGTTCGACCCTTTATCATGTGATAAGTACCGTCGAACATGGTCAGCACGAACCACTTAAAGCACCTGATGCATTATGTCCCATGATAGGTTCTGCACCATGAGAAAGCCTGTGACCCGCCAACATCAATTTATTCATGATGCAACATCATGCCTAAGATGCTCCATGCAAGGAAATTGTTGCATTAAAACCAGTCGATGCCACCTCCTAACTTTGATTCAAGGACGGAATCATTTGCTGAAATCAGCTATTGACATCAATTGCCACTCTGCATATAATCATTCCATTCTGCAAACCAATGGCCTCATAAATGTATACATGCCTTTGATTTGATGTAAATCTAAGCAGGAAGCAAATACCATATATTTTTAACTTTTTATGCTACATTTTCTTCCATGCTGAGAGCTTGGACATTGTGAGTTCCTCCTACCTTGTGAGTTCCTCCTTGAGTTCCACGCTCATTGGATGCTTTTCTTACGTTCTGAACGTGTGATGCAGCGACACTGGACGTTTTAACTGTTGGAGTCTCAATGGCTGAACTCTGCATGCCTAAACACACCTTAAAACATACTTCATTCTGTGGCAGGATGGACACCAGATTGCATGAGCAGCATGACAGTAAAATATGTTACTTCATATGAACTCCCTTGATCATTACTTATATCTACCACCACCCAAGAGAATGCCTCGTCCTCTCATTGCCATCAGCCTGAACAGCCTGAAAAAGTTTCATACTACTTTCACCTCATTGATATGTTGATCAAATACTGAAAAAATCCTCTGCCCCAAGGCATTGTGCAAATCATCTTACCTTTGTGTACTGGTCATTCTTGTCTAAATCACCAAAGACTTTATCCTCCAGGCCAAATACACGTTCTTCCAAAAACTTCCCAGACATTTCCAGCTGCTCCGAAGTGCTTTTTCTATATGTCTGAAAACAAAGATCAAATACATTTGCATGTTGAACTGTTATAGTACTTACAGTCCAAGGTTAAGCTCAAATTCATGCTACCATTTCTGAGGACAAATGAGTGATTGAAAAACACAATGCACATATTACTTCCTAAAGAAAAGAAAATGGCAATATGTTCTATGATAAAGATTGTTAACATGCCTCTCAAAGCCCTGAAAGAACAAGAGAACAAACCAAAATGACTGCAATGAGGCATCATAAAAAATTGGTAGCATACAGCAATGGTGTGCTCTCTAGGTGGCTGGGCTAGCATGGGGCATTGCAGGCAACAGGTTTCATTTATGCAGAAGTTGTCCAAAACAAGGAACCAAAAACCATGTACAGCACAGCAAAACATGTTTCTCACACGCACGCATGCATGCACGCACGCACGCATGCAACAAAGCAAGCTTTAATCATGTAGTGATGCATGGAAAAAGTTAAGTTTACCTGATGTTGCCCTTCCCCTTCTCTGTGCATGCTCAATTTTGAGAGCATTCACAATTTATTACTGGTACCCAACCTGACTTAACCCAATCTAAAATTTCCAGACCATGTCAGCCAACAATTTCTGACACCCAGCCTAACCCCACTTACTGTACAGCTTCCAAAGCATTTTAGCTCACTAAACATAAGCTGAGGGGTCTTGTGCAGGGTCATGACACCTATCAGATTACAACAATTTGCAGACAAAAAGATTATGTTCATTCATAAGCTGTCTCATGAAGGATAGAAAAGCCTGAACATGGGGGCACAAAGACATGTTATGCTAAACATGTGTTGCAGGAGAAAACATCACAGTGACATTTTCAGTGCACAAATATTTTGTACCTCACAGTGCTCAAGGGCACAAAGCACAGTACTCATGGTTTGGGGCACCAGTTATGCTGTGAAGATACTTGCACACAAACAAACTGAACATATTTTCTATACAATACTTTGAAACTACTTAAATTGTCATTGCTTTTGCAAGAAACATAACACACATGGACAAGACAGCAGCAATAGCCTTGCTCCTCATAGAAAAAAACACAACATGAAGATATATGTGTGGAGATCTTTATGACATGCTCTTATCAAAACCAATTGCAGGCAAAAACTTAAAAAGACCTTTCAGCCATCATTTTTACAGGTGACCCACATTTAGGGGGCTAAACAAGGAGCAGTTGCCAGCAGTTACTAAGACACCCTGCATATCTGACTACAGATATAAGCATGCAAAAATGTGTATATGTAAATAAATTCAAGCAAGCAGGCATCCACTTGAAGCCTCATTCAGTAACTGACATCCAATGTGTTGTGCAATGCCTGACGCCTCATTAGTTGAAATCGCTTTCATGTAGGATCGATGTGTGATGTTTGATGCCTGTTTACTTGGACTCTTCACCTGTTTGAATGAAGCATAATGTTTGATGCTTGTTTACTAGAAAATGTTTGCATGTACATGTTTCTTTTAGCCCATTCTTATTCTTATCTAGATATCCACCATACCATAGTAGTGACTGACAATTGTTCCTGGATCATCTCCCATAAATGCTTCTGAGCTGGGAAAACCATGGCTCACTGTTGCAAAAACAAACCTGAAAAGCAGGATCACCAAGAGGAGATTTTGCATTTACATCTGCTATTCATTTCAATAGGCAAGTTACCAAAATCTTGATGTATCTATATCACCATTCTCCTGGTTTCCCTAGAAGGCAAAATGTCCTTACTACTGCCTTATCTAAAAATAATATGAAATTCATCCCACTTTGACCTACAATGAATTGTGTGTGAGTGTGTGACTCAGCCACTGATATTGTAGTGTACTGTGCAGCAGCTACTTTTTGAAGGCCAGCCTGAATGCTGACAATGCACACATACACCATTTATCATGCAATGCATGGCCTTACCCTATATTATTAATGCTGCCATGATCTATTAATACTTCATTCAGGCAATACTCAAGGAGCATACAACACCACAGACAACATTATATAAAAGTGAAAATGAACCTAACTTAAAATTATCCAGTTGTTTTCAACGTGCCTGCATCTGGTAAAACCGGCTCAAAACAATGTTTTCCTTGCAGTTCGTAGGTACCGCGGGCGTGGTCCCTCCACCCAGTAATACGATCTGTATAAGCTAAACCTAGCAGGCAAACCGTATGATATTGCTCTCAGTACATGCGCCAGACACTTGTTTATTCCTCTAACACCTCCATATAGCTTCATATCCCGCATAATGCCCACAAATGGCGCCTCCCCCACACCCCTCACCATCAATCTCCGCAACTGCAAGGCCGTGGTGAGTATAGGGATATATACAAGGCGATGTATAACAGGTGGTGCCGTGCCGACCAGTGCACACCTCAGTAAAGTCCCTCTGTGACGTCATGGAGGGTACAACTTTAGTGGGAATATTTCACATTTGAAGGTATTGCGGCGAGCATCAGATAGGATGAAAAAAAGCTCACTCGTGGCTATTGTTAGAGTTTAATGTAGCAAAGACCGCTGTAGACAATGCCTTTTCTCTGTTAAATCAATGTCCTTCTCGATATGTCGTTGCTTGATTACTTAAGGTCGATCAAGACAGTACCTGTTTTCATGTGTAGAATACGTGTGTTGTGCAGTGCATTAGCGAGGAACAAGGAACAAGTGTTTCCGTCAACAACAATAAAGCCCTCAGGGCAAGCAAAAAGCACCCAAGACGGACGTGGCGAGCCCCTAAACGATCGGTAGTGCCCCGGCAGGCTGACATGTAAGGCCCCGGCCATAGCACAGGACCCTCGAGCAAAGGAGAATTATCCAAGACCATGAATTAATACCCCCGTGCGATCAAGAGTGCACGGGCAGGATAACAACACGAGCCTCGATAAGAGTAAAGATTCCTCTGCAAGTGAGATCAAAGGGAGAGAGCTCTCGATCAAAGCAGAGGGCCCCTGAGCATCGAGTGCCCCGTGTCTTACCTTATAAGGGCCCTAGAGACCGCACAAAGCCCTCCAAGCAAGTGGAAAGAACCCGAGACTTATATGAAGGGCCCCTAAGCAGCTGAGTGTGCCCCGGCGTATGGGACCCCGGAAAAGTGTGAAGAGCCTTTTGGGAAAATGGGAAGAATCCGTGCAGGAAAATCTGATCGATCAACAGTGTTCAGGTATGGAGGCAGATAGCGTCCTAACAGCACATTGGGTCCTACGATAAAATGCAAAGGCATCAAGGCAACGTGGAAAGGTCCTTAGCGATCATATTGACCCGGAAAATGGACATACAGGGCCAGGCAACCAACAGCGCAATGACTTTAGACGGCGCAATGAGCCCCAAGATTTCCCCCAAGCAACACTTTTTCAGACAGCTTCCTGGTCTGTAGGCTCAAAGGCATGCAATTTTATTGTGTTTTTGTTGTAAGATAACTGCGTCCGTTCGGCCGCTTATGGGCCTCTTCGGAGTCTTAAGGCCTCCTCGGCATGGTCCACGGGGCATGGTCCGGCGCCTCCCCCCCCCCCCCCCCCCCCACCTCTGCGTCCGCGGCCGGCCCGAGCAGCTTAATAGATGGGGCCCGGAAAGCACACAGGGCCATCCATTCAACTAAGAAATCCTCACGACGCAAGGCGCAGGGCTCCGAACGATCGAGCGCGCCCGTGCGGGTTAACATATAGGCGCCCATCAAGAGCGTGGGGCCCTCCATTCAAATAGGAAGTGCCCAAGACCCAATGTAGAGGGCCCCCGAATGATCGAGTGTGCCTGAGCAGGTTAACAGATAAAGTTCCCAAAAAGGGCGTAGGGCCGTTCATTCAAATAGAAAGTATTCAAGACCCAATGCAGAGGACCCCAAATGATCCAGTGCGTTAGAGCAGGTTAACAACATGGACCTCGTCAAGAGCGTAGGACCCTCTATTGAAATAGGAAGTACTCAAGACCCAATGAAGGGGCCCCGAATGATCGAGTGTGCTCCAAACAGACTAACAGAAAGGGCTCCCAACAAGAGCGTAGGGCCCTCCATTTAACTGGAAAGCACCGAAGACCCATGTAAATGCCTCAGAATGATGGAATGTGCCCGAGCAGCTTATCAGAACGGGCCCGACAAGAGTGGAAGGCCCTCCATTGAAATAAGAATTAGCTAGAACCTAGTGCGGCGGGGCCCCCGAAGGATTGCGTGTACCCGAGCAGATTATCAGGTGGCCCAGACAGGAGTGCAGGGCCCTAAATTCAAGCACCAAGACCCAATATAAACGGTCCAAACAATCCAGTGTGGCCAAAGCGGAGAACAGATAGGGTCCCCGACATGTGCGTAGGGCCCTCAATTCAGAAAGGAAGTACCCAAGACACTATGTAGAGGGCCCCAAAAAATCGAGCGCGCCAGAGCAACTTAGCAGATAGGACGCTCGAGAAAAGCAGAGAGCCCTTCATTCAAGAAGGAAATACCCAAAAATCAGATGTAGAGGTACCCCATGGATCAAATGGGTTCGAGCACTTTATGAGAGGGGGCCCCGACGGGAGCGTAATGCCCTCCATGCAAATAAGAAGCACCCACAACCCGGCGTGGAGGGCCCCAGAAAGATAGAGCGTGCCCAAACAGGCCATCAGACGACTCCGATGGGAGCAGAAGGCCCTAAATTCAAGCACCAAGAACCAATGTGTAGGTCCTCCGAGCAATCCAGTGAGGCCGAGGGGGCGAACAGAGGGCGCCCCCGGCAAGTGCGTAGGGCCCATTCAAATAGCACGTGCCTGAGGCCCAATGTAGAGGGCCCCCGAACGATCAAATGTCCCCGAGCAGGTTAACAGATTGGCCCCGCCACAAGAACGTAGGGCCCCCCATTCAGGAAAAAGTACCCAAGACCCAGTGTGGAGGGTCCCCGAACGACTGAGTGTGCTCAATCAGACCATCAGATGGGCCTCCGACGAAAGTGTAGGGCACTAAGCAAGATACAGATAATTGGAAACAGCCTAGACCAATGTAGAGGGCCTAATGAGCATACCGCAAGTGTGTCGCTAAGTTAACCGAGACCACGTAAAGGGCCCTTAAGCAATCGAGAATACCCCGGCAGGTTAAGATATGAAACTCCGGCTATAGCTCACAGAGTCTTGCTGGCGAATGGAAAGAATCCGTGGAAGGGCCCATGATTGACAACAGCGCCTCGGCACGCTTAACAAGAAGGTCCCCAACAACAGCGCAGTGCCCTCCGAACAAATGCAAATAAATGTGGGGCACCGTGGAATGCTCTTTAACGATCGTAATGCTCCCGCAAGTGGGCATGTAGGTCCTCCGGAAACAGCTGGGGCCTTTGACGGTGTTATGAGATTTAAGATTTCCAGTTCACAACTTTGCAATCATCGAGTCTTTTTTAACTTTTGATAGGCCCTTTACTTTCGTTTATAAGTGTTCTTGGCTGCCTGGAAGTCCACAGATACCCAGTTTTTGCGTGTTGTATTAAAAAACTTCACCTGTTCGGCAAGCTCTGGCCCCCTCGGAACCAGTCAAGGCCCTAGAACAGGAGAGCCAAAGGGCCCCTTCGGGAACCAACGGGGGCATGGCATTGTGTCCCTCCCCCTCTGGATCCGCCCACGATTGGCGAAATCTTCGTTATAGATCATTTTCCTAGCATCTACCAACCCTTTGTAGCATCGACCAAAAACCGTACCACGGGCCACCAAAACTTACTCTAGTAGCCTCGGACGCCGCGTAGTGCTCACGGCGACGGCTGGCGTGGCATGCCGTACGTGATAGATTTGCGTATATGGGGACACAACAAATACGCCCCCACAACCCTGTTATCCTCAAGCAAGCCATTCGTCAGGTGGGAATCATGTAGATATGATGGCCCCAGAACTTATCGAGCATTTCTTATTCGAATATTAATGCTCACTATGCACTAAATGTTTTTTAACCAATTATTTCTACATGCAGGTGTGAGGTAATGACTTGCTGGCTGCTGGTGCAAGCAATGTCTTCAGATACCTACCAGTACCTATGTTGACCAAGAATGATGTGACATTTTCACAGTGATTCTCATACAATTTTTCAGAGGTGATACAGGCTGAAGCTGGGATGCCAGGGTGCTGGTTGTGTGCATACCTCATTTATGTTAAGGCTTCTTGTGATACCTGAACCATCTTTCAGGGCAGAATTCTTCAGTAGGGCTTTTAGGGACAAAGTGCATGACATGGCATGCCCAGAAAATCACCTGGCTGCTCTGATTGCACAATACTCATGCATGAGGGTTGGTGTTCATATAATTCACTTTACCTTTCAGAAGAAGAAAACCACACTGGGAAGGCTTTGCACTGGAAAGGTTTGGAAAGAAAACATATGCAAAGGCTTCCTGGGCAAAGGCCTCTGATAGACAAGGTCTTGATAGTGTTTGTATGGTCTGTGCAGAGGTATTTACACTACCATACACTTGCAAGTGACATTTTAGTCCACTTAAAACAGATCAAAATGTCTTATGGATGTAATTACATCATTACAATGTTCAAGTGTAGTTATTTTGAATAATCTAGGTGAATATAGATATTGGTGAAACTCAAGGAAAGATTGGGTATTCCTACCATGACAATACCAAAGGACTATAATTTCCATAAATTAACAGTGTATTTGTAACCACTTGGGAGGGGATGAGGAAGTGACTCCCTCCTCCCAATTTTCCCTGGATGAGATTTCATCCCCAATTTGCCCTGAAATGCATGTTTGTCATCTTTTCCCATTCAAGGATGCCTAATTTGGTTAGAATGTCCATATAGATTCCAGATTGGCTCACAATATCCCGATTTGTTCCCCAATCCCAGATATGTTCCCTACAGAAAGATATTTCTGAAGCTATGCATAGTGCATGTGTATGACATAAATACCAATTTTCTTGTTGCAATACCAACTTTGCATGGTTGCATCTTTTCCCATTCAAAGATGTCTAATTTGGTTTGACTTTCCCCCTAGATTCCAGATTGACCCATGGTATCCTGATTTGTTCCCCAATCCCAGATATGTTCCATAAAAAACACATTTCAGGAGCATATGTGATGCATGTGTGTGATAAAAGTACCAACTTTATTATAAAACACACAGTGTAAGGCTGGGAGACATTGCCAAGTTTTCAGAATATCCTGGCAAATCCTGGCGTGTGGATGCTGTGAAACACATCAGGGGAGGGGGTGGGTGGACTCACTCTCCATGGGCAGGAATGTGATGAATCTTCATTTCAAACTGCTGAAAATGGTTATGTATTTCAAACATTGTTTTGATGTGTTTGTGCATATGGTTTCAGGTATTATGTCTGCAATGACACCTCCAATAAATCAGAACACAAGCAGTGATGATGCAACGGTAGAAAACCACTGTCTTGTTTGCAACAGAGAGCAGACAGCCAACTTAGAGCGTATTTCGATTGAAAGCTCCCTGGCAAGTGGCCACTTGTTGAGCTCCGTCATGGTTGCCATCTTGGAGAGTTCGCTGCCTCGTTTGGGAGACCAGGTCCCAGTCGTGTGCGTGGTGTGCTTCTGTCTGCTGAAGGAAATCGATAACTTGGAACACCGTGTCACAGCACTCAAGGGGTCTGTAAGGCTCAGCTTTGCCCAGGCCTGCCGAGAGCGTGGTCGGCAGTGGGATGTGGAGGTGGCCAGTAAAGGCCCAGCAGAGGAGCGGGGGACCAAAGGCACGTTTGTGGAAGACGTGATTGGTGATCAGACTAATGGCAGCTGCACAACATGTGAAAGATCTACACAGACGGATGTAAACCTCGTCTTACGCCGTGAAGAAGACGAAAACGCACAACAGCAGGATTCTACAGGAGCTAAATGTGCTCAGAAACCAGATGTTCGACTTGCGCCTTTGCCTACTGTAAGTAGTCTTGTGCATAACATTGGCCAGTTTTATGCAGTGTCAGAAACTGTTGCCTACTCTGCCCAGCCTTGGAGGAACTTGCTTTGAATAGGCAGGGATGTGGATGTGACTGACTGGATGTTTTTCCTCAGCCTTATGTATATATATATATATATATATATATATATATATATATATATATATATAAGAAAAATGGAACTTATGCACACCACCATTTGTTAAAGGGGTGTTCCACACTTGCATGGGGCTTTGAACTGAAACATTCAGTGCAATTCACAACCTTGCCCTAGGAGATTTAAGCTCTACTTGTTTCTGAGCTGTGTGCCCGCAAAGACGTGCAAACTATTTCGGAGACTATTTCAGTGTCGCCCAGGTATCATTACGCCACAATAACGTCACGCATATCCGGTCATTACATTGGCCATGCGGTGAACAAGGTTAAAAAATGTGGTTTTTGAGTCATCTACGTGTGGTGTTTGTGGGCACGATTTCCAGACATAACGGCCGTCAATTGACTATGGATCAGTGTTCCGCAATGTACAAGGACGTAATCAATGAGGTAATGAGAAACATATTTTCTTCAAACAAATTGTGCTGCCTAGAGCAGCCTTTTCCACTGCAGTATTTAAAAATTTCATTTAATGTGAGAAAGCAACTACTGCCGCGCCGCTACTGCTGTCGTTCCTCTCCGTCCGGTCTAATGTCCCCTCGATCTTTCGCTCTCTCTCTCTCTCTCTCTCTCTCTCTCTCTCTCTCTCTCTCTCTCTCTCTCTCTCTCTCTCTCTCTCTCTCTCTCTCTCCTCTCTCTCTCTCTCTCGCTCTCTCTCTCTCTCTCTCTCTCTCTCTCTCTCTCTCTCTCTCTCTCTCTCTCTCTCTCTCTCTCTCTCTCTCTCTCTCTCTCTCTCTCTCTCTCTCTCTCTCTCTCTCTCTCTCTCTCGCTCTCGCTCTCGCTCTCGCTCTCGCTCTCGCTCTCGCTCTCGCTCTCGCTCTCGCTCTCGCTCTCGCTCTCGCTCTCGCTCTCGCTCTCGCTCTCGCTCTCGCTCTCGCTCTCGCTCTCGCTCTCGCTCTCGCTCTCGCTCTCGCTCTCGCTCTCGCTCTCGCTCTCGCTCTCGCTCTCGCTCTCGCTCGCTCGCTCGCTCGCTCTCTGGCTCTCGCCCTCGTCCTCGCCCGCTCTCTCTCTCTCTCTCATTCTCTTGCCCTCATTCTTGCTCTCGCTCTCACTCTTCTCTCGCTCTTGCTCTCGCAGTGGCGACGGAGAGGACGGTGCAGCAGGGTCTCGACGTCGGAGGCCGTCGCCGGGGACGGCGGCGTGTGGCCGAATGCCGCCGAGTGTCCCGGTGACCCTGGCGGTAGCACGAACTCGGCGTTGGTCGTCTCGCCAGGCCTGCAGACGACCCCGGCGCCGCCCAGAACGCTGCGGCGCCGCCCTACACTCGTCAAGACCGAGCCTGGCTCGAACGACGTCGCTGACGGCGACGGAGCCGGGCGGAACCATGCCCCAGACGACGGTCCGCCGGACGCCGCAGCGGGCTCGGCGTCGGCCGCGTCGCCCGACCCGCTGGCGGCCCCGGCGCCGCGCAGAGCGCTGCGGCGCCGCCCGACGCTCGTCAAGGCTGAGCCTGTCTTGGATGTCGATACCGACGGCCACAGCGCCGACAGTGACGGGGCCGTCTGGGACGACACGCGGGGTGACGGACTGCAGTGCGAAATGTGCGGGGCAGAGTGCGCCGACGCGTCTGAGCTGGAGCGGCACCGGCGCCACTGCGGTCCGCCGACAGATGCCGAGGCGGACGCGGTGCTCTGGAGCTGCCAGCGGTGCGAGCGCTCCTTCCGCCAGCTGCCGCAGCTGAAGCGGCACACACGCCAGCACAAGCTGCCCACCAGGCAGCTGGCCATCTGCCTCAAGTGCGGCGCGGTGTTCGGCGCGGCGGCCGAGCTTGTGGAACACAACGCCTCTCACGCAGCGGACGCGCCCGACATCCTGATCTGCAACGTGTGCGGCCTGGGCTTCCGTTCGGCACCGGCGCTCGCTGTGCACGCCGGCAAGCATGACGTCACCTGCACCGTCTGCTACAAGCAGTTGCGCAAGGACAGCTTGCGCGAACACATGCGGCGCCACACGGGCGAAACGCGGTACACGTGCGCCGTGTGTAGCAAGAAGTTCGTGGCGTTTTCGTCGCTGCGCGCGCATCGGCGCACGCACACCGGCGACAAGCCGCACAAGTGTCACCTGTGTGCTGAGATGTTCCACGTGAAGGCGAGCCTGGCCGAGCACTTGGAGCGCCACCAGGGTGCCGAGCTGCGATGCGAACAGTGCTCACGCGTTTTCCCGTCGTCACGTCGGCTGGCGGCGCACGCCAAGACGCACGACAGGCGCCGCTGGCAGCCGCACACCTGCGAGTTCTGCGGCCAGGGCTTCATGACGGCGCGCTCTCTGCGCCAGCACCGGACCCAGCACCTCGGCACCGTGCCGTTCGTCTGTCCCGTCTGCCAGAAGGGCTTCACCTACGAGGACTCTTACAAGGAGCACCTGAACGTGCACAGCGGTGAGTGGCGTGCATAGGCTGGCCCGCACGCGGGGGGCGGGCGGATGGGTGCGCAGGTTGCCGGCGATCCTCCGATTGCTGTCTGCTCTAGTGTAACCAGGCTGGACACGGGATCCGCTGAAGCCGCGCTTGCGTCACTTGACTATCATACCAGAGGCAGTGTCTCCCTGTTGCGGTTGCGATGAAGGTGGCCTCAGAAATTTAGTTCTGTAACGTTCCAACGGTATATCATGATGGAGGATGGGTTGTCTGGCACTCGGCGAACCAGAAACAAGTTCTTCTCCACTGCGAAGGTGGTCCAAAACGAAGCATTGTTTAACGCCGTCATCTTGCGCCACGTGCTTGCCATTCTTAAGCGATGGAATTTGTCGATCTCTGGGGCGCCGTGCTTGGGGTCTTGTGCGATATTTCGTAATCGCATCTTCAGCTATCGCTCACCTAGCACTCGGCTCTCTGATAGTACTGAAAGGCTGTTTCAGTGAGATAGTCTATCCCAGTGTCCCTCGGTCCCAGATGTTCCTAGGTGTGTCTCGGTGTCCCCTCGGTCCTAGGTGTGTCTCGGTGTCCCCTCGGTCCTAGGTGTGTCTCGGTGTCCCCTCGGTCCTAGGTGTGTCTCGGTGTCCCCTCGGTCCCAGGTGTTCCCAGGTGTGCCTCAGTGTTCCCTTGCTCCCAGGTATTCCCAGGAATGTCTCGGTGTCCCCTCGGCCCCAGGTGTTCCCAGGTGTACCTCGGTGTCCCCTCGGTCCCAGGTATTCCCAGGAATGCCTCGGTGTCTCCTTGGTCCCAGGTGTTCCCAGGTATGCCTCAGTATCCCCCTGGTCCCAAGTGTTCCCAGGTGTGCCTCGGTGTCCCCTCGGCCCCAGGTGTCCCCCATGTGTGCCTCTGTGTCGCCTCGGTTCCAGGTGTTCCTGAGTGTGCCTCGGTGCCCCCTCGGTCCCAGGTGTCCCCAGATGTGCCTCGGTGTCCATGTCGGCTCTGAGCGTTTGGCCGGCGTTGCAGGTCAGCGGCCGTTCACCTGTGAGGTGTGCGGCAAGTCGTTCGGCCGCCGGTCCTGCCTGTGGGCGCACCGGAACCAGCATACCAACCCGCGCCGCTTTCCGTGCGGCCACTGTCCCAAGGTGTTCTCCAACAAGTCGGCTTACACCGTCCACCTCCGGATCCACACCGGCGAGAAGCCGTACAAGTAAGCGGCGTCCAGCAGTGTATTTCAGCTGGTTCTGAGAGGCTGTGGTCAAGGAAATGACCTGATTTTGTACAATCTTGTAGCCATGGTGACGCGGATCTCGTGGAACCGCCCGTACTTCCTTACAGCTAAATTAATTTCAATTTAAGCTGTAGTGAAGGGAAATGACCTGATTTTATGTGTACAATCTTGTAGCCATGGTGATATGGATCTCGTGGAACCGCCCGTACTTCCTTAAAGCTAACTTGATTTCAATTTGAGCTCGGATTGAATCGGCACCTTCCCGACCCACGTGCAGGAGGAGGGAGGGGGAGGGGTGCTCGGACTGCGCCGTTAGCCGGCCTGGCGCGCCTCGACTGACAGCTAGCCGCGCCTGTCATCAGGTGCACGACCTGCTCGGGCTCGTTCCGGCTGCTGAGCCGTCTGAAGCGACACGCCTGCGCGCCGCCCGCCGCCGCCGCCGCCGCAGCCGTGGCTCCCGGCTCGGCGCCGGGCACCGCTCCGCCGGTCACCGTACAGATCAGCACGCCCGGCGGCCAGACGACCACAGCGCACATACAGCTGCCGGCGGCGATGGCGCCGGCGATGGCCGCTTGGCAGCCGCCGCTCGACCACGGCTACTCGGCGCCGCCGCCACCGCCGGTCACCGGGCCGCCCGACAATCGACCCGTGCGCACCGAGCACGTCGGCGGCCGGTGCTCGCCGCTGCTCATCCTCGCCGGGCCGTGACCGCCCTCTGTCTCATGCGCTGTGTGATCCGCTGTCTGGGGCCGTCGGACAGTGACCGGACCGTCTGCGCCGCTGGAGCTGACGTGGGCGCCGCGGCCGGCATGTCTTTCGCCGGGAGACAGGTACCTCCCGATGGAGGGGTAGCTTCCTTCCGGGACGGCGGCAGCTGTCCCCGAGGTGGTGACACTGGGTTCCGGGGATGACCGCTGCTGTCTGCCGGTACGGTGGTGTGTATCAAATGCTGAATGTGGCGGTCTGTCGTCGCGCCTCTGTGCTTGACGACGGCGCGGCCCGTCTTCCCGCGAGCAGGGGATATCCCCATTTATGTCTGCTGCGTGGGGCGGCAGCAGACAATCCGCGACCCTTTGTCATCCCATTCGTCGGACTGTTGTGTGCATGCGTCCTGTGTCTAGTTAGGGAGCATCGTGCCAGCGTGGGCCGGCCTTGGAGCGCGGACGCGCGTTAGGAATGCTCGGGGTGCTGCTGCTTCTGTACACAATGACAGCCGTCATATTGCTCATGGGTGCTCAAGCGCCTTGGTGCCTGCCGGTCGACGGTTGCACGGTATATTTCGCTGTTCGCCGGCAACGGTGAATGCTGCTGGCAATACAGCGTGGGCGGGCCTGTTGGATGGTCGGCACAATCTTTTTGTTTGTGCATGTTTGGAAGGAAGTTTAGAAGGAAGTTTACAGCCTGCAAGGTTATACCTGGATTGATACACTTCAATAGTGCATTTAAGATTGTGGGGTTTGTCTGGGCTATCTATCATAAGAAAGTTGGCGGTTTTCCTGTTGCGAAAATAAGGGACAATATCTACTCCGCGGCCGTTCTTGCATTTTACATGTCCAGAGATCACTTCCCATACAGCTTTTTAATCTTGTTTCTGGGCAGATGTTCTTCAGTATTGATAATACAGTTGGGCGTTTAGTTGTTTGTCCTGTCTTCGTTCAGTGTCATGTCTTGTCAAATGTGCTTCGTGTCTAATGTCATAATTTGAGAAAACAGCTTATTCACCAAGATCCGTCCGACCAAAAAATACTAAACTCGACTGTGATCCCGTTCAATTAGAACAATTCCCAAGTGCGCGCCTGAGGAATGATCTTGTGGCGCTAATTTTGTAGCGTCAAGGACATTCACCATCAGCAATTGAGCACCATCTGCTGTTTGCCTCCTTTCCGTATGCAGTGATTCTAAATCGCCGCCCTTGGCCATCAGCGGTCGCGTCAGTACAGGGTATCACTTTTTGCTCACAGTCCCTTCAGTTCTGTTGTAAAGTTAATGCTAGATCGCTCTTCAGGTGTGTTTTTGTGACGCCCTAGTTGATCAGTGTCCCTGACATCCACTAGGAAAATCTCCAACTTTCAACAACTCCAGCTCCAACTTGCCAGCAAGAGAAACAGACCCGGCAAACTGAAATGCATCAATGCAGTGTATCAATTCAAACGCAATCTCGAATACGCAGATTTCGTTTCAAACACTGCACTGACGTAACCCCCCCCCCCCCCCCCCCCCCCCCCGAAGGTTATCTGGCCACCCCGCCTTGACGTCGCCGCTGGGCGCGTGGGCGAGCCACAACGTTGCAAACTCATAGAAAAGGCCTCTTTCATAGGCGGCGTTTCGGCAGCTTGGGAGGGGACGGACAGCTGAAACGCTTTCAGCATCAGGTAAAACGTGTGGGGTCTTCTACACCAAGTGTGCTTTTGAAGCTCAGTGCCTTGGTTTTAAAATGAAGTTCATTTTGCACAGGTGTTGCAACTCCAGCCTGCGTGACGCCTCCGGTATTAACACCTGGTTGTTATATGTCTAGTGTTCGTGGGCTTATGATCCTCTTTCAGTTTTCCTAGGTACTTACATCCTGATTCTAGACGCGCTCTGTGTGTTGGAACGTGAACTTTGCTTGTTGGGTTTGAAATATTATGACATTTTGCATGCAAATGCCTTTCCCATGTTTTGTTCAGTCACCAAGGTATATTCTCGGCCCAATTGCCTGCCATTCCAGCGGAAATGTCGCATGACTTTCTGTTCCTGTATTAGTCACCGGCATATGTGAACCTGCTAAGTTCGATGTTGAATTTAAAATTGAACAGCTTCTTGGCATGACTGGCGCTTTTAGCTCTCTTACATTGGTTGAGGATTGAACGCGTAACTTCGACGTACGACACTTCGAACTCACCATCAACATTACGTGATCAGGTGGGTGGAAGAGTAACTTCATCCTGAAAAACGGCAATTTTGCCCATGGTTATAAGATGCAGACTATACGCAAGAACATTACATCCCGAGCAAAGTAATAATTTCAGTGCATCTGTTTGATATACCGGATGTAGCGCATATGTGAAATAGAAATGCGATACAAGTGGGCAATACGATGCGTGATAATGATATATTTATGAGATGCCGGAGGTGAATGAAGTATCATATGAACAAATGCAAATGGCCGTGGCTGTGGCCAGGCAAGGCGTCACGCTGTTGGCATCGAGCCACACAGAGATGCGCCGGAGCCTTTCGATAGTGGCACGATGTAGTCGGGAAGGCGTCACCTGTCCTCCACACACCAGAACCACGCGTCTCAGAAACGTGGTCACCAGCTCCAAGAAGCATGCCGGTACGTGGAGCGTCAACAGCCTCCCCTATCTATGCAACGTGCGGAACAGTGAGGAACTAGTTCGGTCTGCCCGAAACTGCCACTGGTGGTCAAATAGGTACACCTTAACTACCCAGTGGCTGTACGTCTTTTAACACGCGCCCGGGTGGCCGGCTAGATACCCTTCGCTCGGGTGGGGTGGAGGGGGGGGGGGGGGGTAATTTGACCCGTCCGAGATCTCGGGAACTAGGGAGCTAGAGACACCAAATTTTCAGGGCGTGTTGACCTGTACGTGAACTCACTTAGGCCAAAATCAGGTCAAAGTTTGAGGTTCCTAGGTCACGACCTTTGGGTCAAATAAGATCCAGCAAGGTCAAATTCCAGGTTGGTCTTCAAAGTCCCCCAGGACCTTGATACCTGTTTCTAAGCAAAAGGTCACATGCTCAACTAAGGTCAGTGACTTTGACCCTTTGAAGGTCATGGTGACCAAAATCATACAAAACTGCTCTGGGTTTTGTATTTGAATAAGCTGCAAAGATTATGCCAGGCAGCGTGTTTCTAAAAAAATGCTGACCTGGGTCGTTTCAGGTCCATGAACTATTCTGACTTCTGATAAGTCTATGAAAAATGTATAATGCGGTTCCTGCTATCAATGAATTCGAAGTGAGCACCAGGAACTATCACATACAGCAAGCCCTAGAGTAATAAAGCAGGTTGGTTTTGACCTTGGTCCGACCTTTATACCTGACCTTGGGTCAAAGCAATTTGCTTATTCAGTATTTGTGTTACCTAAGAAAGCATCTTAGACATGCATGGCTTCGTCGAACGCTCCGTTGTTGCATCAGATTGAACGATTCCCTAGAAAGCGACTTCGCTGGAACCATGGTCTGACTTTGACGTGCCATAGGTCAGCGACCTCACAAGGTACGTCTAATTTTTTGGACGCCAAACGATCCCCTATTCAATTATCTACAGCTATGGCTGCACCGCGCCGTTCGGACACCATTCTGGAAAAACCTTCGGGGGGGGGGGGGGGTCAATTGGAACCCCGAGCCCACCCGAGCGCGTGTTAGCAGACTTTGGGTGCCACCTAATCAAATTTTAGAACGACGGCAAAATCTTTTCAATTTTTGGTTGTTCTGGATGGTTATCGCACGTCGTTTCTTATGACGCATTTTTAACGGATGTAATAGTCTACACTCGTCTAGTTCTACACCCAACCACGCAACCGCCGAAATTTGTGCTAGTTTTTTCCTCACAGCATGCATATTCATAATAATAGTTTGGTAAGCATTTTACCTTTATTTATCCCATTAGAAGCTTGGCCTGGCAGTGCGCCGAGAACTTGGGCGCCACGGCATGCCTGACTCAGGCTAAGCCAAGCTTTGAGATGCCTGTCAAACCAGCAGCAGTTTTATATCAAGATATTCAGGCATTCAGCATTGATATTCAGGACTCTCACAATCTTGCCAAAAATTCGTAGGTTCATAATGCTAAGCCTACGCCTTTCAAAACCTGACAAGGTGAGGTGGGCATACACAACAACCCGAAGCATTTCAGGTAGAAATTCAAGGTTAATCAGAGCGGACCTTTGTGATGGAGTTCAAAATGTGTGCTCGTTAGATCAGCGCTCGGGGTTTTTTAAAAGGTTGAGTTTAGACGCACTATATCTCGCAAAGTTCTGGATGCCCAAATTACGTTTTCGTAGGTCGAGATGCATGGGCCAAGTTTTCATTAGCCCACCAATTTTTAGCTAAATTGTGGCAGTCGGGAATTTTGGTCGACGGTTTGATGCGATATGCCGCCAGCTTGGCGGGTCTAGTTTGGAGCTAATAATATTGGTTAGGATCAATATTCCACCAGCATTTTTATTATTATTCTGACCAGTTGAAAATTTGACCCCAGTTGATCTTTAGATTGATCTTTGCGCAACCTAAAGCTGTGCTAGGTGCTTTGCTACCTCTTCGCCGCATCTTCGAGCCATAAACGCTTGGTCACAAGTAAAAAAGACGCTATCCTTGTCCATATGGGCCATTTTGGCACGATTAACCAACTTAACCTTACCCATGTGAAGAGTTAAAATGGTTTCATTTGACTCGCATAGCCTCAAGATTTTGCCTGTATCGCGCAAGTTCAATTTTTCCCGGCCAGAATAGGATCTTTGTTCATGTAATTTCAAAGACGAATCTTGACTTTTTCGTGACTTCTGGTAACCTCAAAATTGACCTGAGGTAAAAACATGCTTTCGCCTTATATCGTCAAGACCTTTCCGCCGGCGCCTCTGTTTTTCCCCATTGAATCGATCGGGCCGATACCATGGGGGAGGGGGCGGAATTCCACCCTTTCCTCGGCCCGGCGAGGGACCGTCTGAGGCCCGACCGGGGACCTGTTAAATGATCACTGGCATCAAATCTGGAAATGATAGTTTTCAACAAATGCCCAGCTGTTGTGGTCTGAAATACTGCGTTGAGTAGAAGCATAAAACAATGGAAACAAAATACTGTCCTGACTAACCGAGCATAGCCATCTTTTTTACAGCAGATTTCCCTTCGTCAGGAGCTGTCTGGGGCCTATCCGGGGACGAGTTGAATGATCACTGGAATCATATCTGGGCAGTGCATTGTTACTGGTTCGTTTAGTGATTTAATCGGAAACGTAACACTTGCACATTCGTGGTTTGTATTCGTATTTGTACATTTTATTTATCTGGGTGCTACAAAGATGTAAGATAACCCGCAAGGGTAGAGTGTAGATCGAAATAGGCCAGCAATTTGTATTAACTTGATTAAGGCGTGCTTATTTGGAAGTATTTCGTATTCATTCAGAATAGGTCAGTGGAAAAAATCATGCACGTAGTTTTAAATATGCGCGTTCGCAAAATCTTAGGATCAACGAACTCGACTCCAGGCGTTGCAGTCTCCGTAGGCCGCGCGGAGTCGACTCTGTGGCTAACATTATGCTGTGGACGAAAATGATGACACATCTCAAAGAGGACCCCTTGAACGCATGAAAACATCAAATCGTACATTTAGAAGGTATCCCGGGCGGATATTTCACCGGTCTCATTTTTAGATCGATGTTAAGAACGGATCGGCATTTCCTCACTGCGAAGTGGTGCTGGCTGGAATGTGGCGGCGGGACTAGTAGCTAAAGGTAGCACGTCTTTTTTTGTGCCGCTGTAATGGTTTCATCTGCACAGAAGATAACCTCAAAGTTGCAAAATATACTCCCAGACTGCCCTTGGCCGGCTCGGAGTCCCTGGCGAATCACAGGTCTCTCTGTTAAGCACTGCGGGTCGTGACAGATACGTGGGGCCCAACCAGTGTAAATCACCGGTCCCGGCCTTATGGTTGAATGGGAAGTGATCCCACAGCCCAATACCAAAACGCAACTGACTGTGCGGTACTGGGGGTACCTGACCGACATATAGGCCAATATCAATTCATGGGATCCTCGTTCGGCGCAAAGAGGCCTCTGACTGTCATATGAGGGCCCACCCCGCAGACTGATGCCCCCGAAAAGACTCAACCAGCGCTTCGTGCCCTTAAGCCTTCCATTCGGGCCTTCGATCGTCGGACCCGGTGAGCGCTCCACGCTCTGCGGGCCTCCTTGAACGCTTCTTCTGGCCGACTCGGGCCCCTTGCAAACACGGGGCCTCCTACTAGATGCTGTGGGGTCCTAACATACTCTGGGGGCCCGACCAATGTAAATCGCTAGCTTCTGCTTTGCCTCTGCTTGGGGAATGAGCCCGCAGGCCCATGCTGACACGGAGCCGGCTGTGCGTTTTTTAGTAGTGTCTAACCGACAAAGAGGCCATTATCGATCCAGGGGCCCCTGATCAGCGCGCAGAGCATTCTGGATGGCAATGAAGAACCCGTTCTTGCTGGCGGCGCTCCCGAATGCGACCCTCCATCGGTCTTTCGGGCCCTTCGAAATTTCATATTGGGCGCTTAATGGTAGGCCCCGAGGAGCCCAAAGAGCCCTCAGAAAATAAGGAGAGGCACGTGCGGCTGTGCCCCCTCCCCCCTTCCCCCCCCCCTGCCTGCGCTACATTTCCTCACCACGTGCACGGCCGTCCCTGCGTTAAATGTGCATACCGAAGACGTCATATAGGAATCTTCGCTGAGAGGTACGCAGTCGGACAGAGCTGCCTGCCACATATCGCCTGGCTTGGTATGGAAGCAATTTTGTGGAGACGCTCGGCCGCCATTGCGGTCGATGGGTTTTTGGGTTGTGGATTTGAGGCTCAGGTCAAAAAGCAGCTGAGCGTTAGCGTTAGCGTGAAACTGGTCACAAATTTCGTGCATAATTTCTGCGCGGTAAATACCTCGTTGCTTGCTCATCGTGTGTTGTGCGATGTAGCTCAGTCGGTATTCTTCAAGTACTTCACCTTTTTTTAGAAGAAGAAGTATCTCCACCGCGAGCGTTTTACGCGCAGTGCGGCACGGGCTCAACCAGCTCGCGTTAGCAGGATTGCCCGACTTTGAAATCATACAATCCAAACGACATCTTTAGCACCAAAAGTAATGAGCAGGCAATTAACATTATTCACTACGGCGTTTCGACCACTGCTACTCACAATGCTCGCATGATTGCCTATCATCTTCAAGAAATAACCATCTGATAATATAATAATTTCGGCTACAAACAGGTCATATGATTTTTAACACGCGGACAACCGACGATTTATAGCATGTACTAAAAGGGCAACATAAGCACCAAATTACGTACATTCGAGCAATTAAGAAAAGTATCCCAGTTCTTCACATTCGTGTCTCGAATTGATATTTCCAAACAGGCAGCACAGAGAAAAACCCAACAATGTCGGCGGAACTGAAGCATTTCCAGCAGTCTTAAAAAACGGACCAAGCCACGGGAACCAAACACCGAAGCCAAGCCAACGTTTTCGGTGCGGTACATTGACGTCTATTAGCGCAGTGCATCTCATACACGAGTCCGGATAATGTGATTCACACTGATTAGGACCAAACACATCGTGACGACATTGTCGCTTAAACTACAACACTTGGATTCAATTAATATGACTACTCCGTTTGCCGTGACATGCTGCTATCATGTCGTGCAGAGGGACTGCCGTAGTACCCTCTTAAAGTAGTGCACCTCTTGTACAATTCCAACGAGCAAGGCTTGAAATCGCTCTGACATCTAGAGACATACTCTGCCGAGATAATATGCCAACAGCCACCCTAAGGAAACGGATCAAGCCTCGGAAAACGAAGACTGAAGCAAGGCCAGCGTTTTCGGTACGGTACATATACGTCTGTTAGCGTAGTGCACCTCACACACGAGTCCGGATAATGCAATTCACGCCTTTAGAACTGGACACGTCGTGCTGACAATGTCGATGGAACTGCAAGACTTCGGTCCGATGAATAAGACTCATGCATTGCCGTGAGATGCTACAATCATGTCGTGCAGAGAGACTGTCGTAGCACCCTCTTAAAGTAGTGCACCTCTTGTACAATTCCAACGAGCAAGGCTTGAAATCGCTCTGACATCCAGAGACATACTCTGCCGAGATATTATGCCAACAGCCACCCTAAGGAAACGGATCACGCCCCGGGAAAGAAGACTGAAGCAAGGCCAGCGTTTCGGTACGGTACATATACGTCTATTAGCGTAGTGCACCTTACACACGAGTCCGGATCATGCGGTTCACACTTATTAGGACCAAACACATCTTGCTGACGATGTCGGTGGATATGCCAGACCACGGTCCGATGAATAAGACCCATGCATTGCCGTCAGATGTTGCCATCATTGGCGGGCGGACTGCAGTAGCACCCTCTTCAAGTAGTACACCTCTGGTATAATTCCAATTGGCGGGACCTAAAAACCGCTCTGACATCCAAAGACATACTCTACCGAGATAATATGCCAATAAAATCCTAAGGATACGGACCAAGCCTTGGAACCGAAGACTGAAGCTAGGCCAGCGTTTTCGGTACGGCACATATGCGTCTATTAGCGCAGTGCACCTCATGCACGAGTCCGGATCAGGCGATTCACACTTATGAAAATTAAACACATCGTGCTGACAATAACGGTGGAACTGCGAGACTTCGGTCCGATGAATAAGGCTGATGCATTGCCGTGAGATGCTGCCATCATGTGCGGACAGGCTGTAGTAGCACCCTCTTAAAGTAGTACACCTCTTGTATAATTCCAACTGGCGAGACCTAAAAACCACTCTGAAAGGCAAGACACACCCCGCTGAGATAACATCCCGACACGAACCCTGAGGAACGAAGCCAAGCCCCGGGAACCGAGGACCGAAACAAAGGCAACGGTTTAGGTACGGTACATATACGTTTAGTCGTGCGGTGCACCTGAAACAAGAGCCCTTACAACGCGATTCACACTAAGTAGAAATAAACACATTGTGCCGACAATGTCGGTTGAGCTGCAATGGTTTGACTCAATGAATAAGACTCATGCACTGTCGTGGGATGTCACCATCATGTGCGGACAGACTGTAGTAGCATCTTCTTAAAGTAGTGCGCCTCTTGCATAATTCGTTGGCGAGACCTAAAAACCGCTTTGTCATCCAAAGACACACTGTATCGAAAAAACGTCTCAACAGCAATTCTAAGGGAACGGACCAAGCCCCGGAAACCGAAGACCGAAGCGAGGCCAACGTTTTCGGTACGGTACATATGTATTTATAAGCGCAGCGTAAATTATACCATCGTCAGCAAGATGTGTTTAGTCCTAATAAGTGTGAATCGCATGATCCGGACTCGTGTGTGAGGTGCACTACGCTAATAGACGTATATGTACCGTACCGAAAACGCTGGCCTTGCTTCAGTCTTCGTTTTCCGGGGTTTGGTCCGTTTGCTTAGCGTGGCTGTTGGCATATTATCTCGGCGGAGAACGTCTTTGGATGTCAGAGTGGTTCCTAGGCCTCGCCAATTGGAATTATACAAGAGGTGTACTACTTGAAGAGGGTGCTACTGCAGTCCGCCCGCCAATGATGGCAACATCTGACGGCAATGCATGAGTCTTATTCATCGGACCGTGGTCTGGCATATCCACCGACATCGTCAGCAAGATGTGTTTAGTCCTAATAAGTGTGAACCGCATGGTCCGGACTCGTGTGTAAGGTGCACTACGCTAATAGACGTATATGTACCGTACCGAAACGCTGGCCTTGCTTCAGTCTTCGTTTCCCGGGGCGTGATCCGTTTCCTTAGGGTGGCTGTTGGCATAATATCTCGGCAGAGTATGTCTCTTGATGTCAGAGCGATTTCAAGCCTTGCTCGTTGGAATTGTACAAGAGGTGCACTACTTTAAGAGGGTGCTACGACAGTCCCTCTGCACGACATGATTGCAGCATCTCACGGCAATGCATGAGTCTTATTCATCGGACCGAAGTCTTGCAGTTCCATCGACATTGTCAGCACGACGTGTTCAGTTCTAAAGGTGTGAATTGCATTATCCGGACTCGTGTGTGAGGTGCACTACGCTAACAGACGTATATGTACCGTACCGAAAACGCTGGCCTTGCTTCAGTCTTCGTTTCCCGAGGCTTGATCCGTTTCCTTAGGGTGGCTGTTGGCATATTTTCTCGGCAGAGTATGTCTCTAGATGTCAGAGCGATTTCAAGCCTTGCTCGTTGGAATTGTACAGGAGGTGCACTACTTTAAGAGGGTACTACGACAGTCCCTCTGCACATGATTGCAGCATGCCACGGCAACAGAGTAGTCATATTAATTGAACCCAAGTGTTGTAGTTTAAGCGACAATGTCGTCACGATGTGTTTGGTCCTAATCAGTGTGAATCACATTATCCGGACTCGTGTATGAGATGCACTGCGCTAATAGACGTCAATGTACCGCACCGAAAACGTTGGCTTGGCTTCGGTGTTTGGTTCCCGTGGCTTGGTCCGTTTTTTAAGACTGCTGGAAATGCTTCAGTTCCGCCGACATTGTTGGGTTTTTCTCTGTGCTGTCTGTTTGGAAACATCAATTCGAGACACGAATGTGAAGAACTGGGATACTTTTCTTGATTGCTCGAATGTACGTAATTTGGTGCTTATGTTGCCCTTTTAGTACATGCTATAAATCGTCGGTTGTCCGCGTGTTAAAAATCATATGACCTGTTTGTAGCCGAAATTATTATATTATCAGATGGTTATTTCTTGAAGATGATAGGCAATCATGCGAGCATTGTGAGTAGCAGTGGTCGAAACGCCGTAGTGAATAATGTTAATTGCCTGCCCATTACTTTTGGTGCTAAAGATGTCGTTTGGATTGTATGATTTCAAAGTCGGGCAATCCTGCTAACGCGAGCTGGTTGAGCCCGTGCCGCACTGCGCGTAAAACGCTCGCGGTGGAGATATTTCTTCTTCTAAAAAAGGTGAAGTACTTGAAGAAAACCGCTCAGTCTTGTTCCGGTACCTTCGAGAGATTAGTAAAAGCTTTCCAATGTCCCCAGACTATGTACTTAGCATGGGATTTTGCTGATGTTAAAGCGAATTTTCCACATTGGTATGGGGACTTAGGACCAAAATAATCATTTCAAATACCTTTTGATGCAGCATATATCAAGTAGCATAAGCAGCATGTCTCATATCATCATATCTCAAGCAGCGTATCTCAAATACAGTTTTGGCTCTTGTGGAGCAGGCTTGTTTGGTTTGAGCTGAATCATGAATGAACTTGAGTCAATCAATCAGAATAAGATGTGAGCTGAATTTATTCATTAGAAAAATATGGCTTTGAGTCATAAGCTGTTTCACATTCTTTGTATATTTCATAGCAGAATTATGAATTGGTCATTACCAGTTCTTCATAAATTTCACAGGCTGAATTGTTAGTGGACCATTACTAACAATATGTCATCGAGTCATGTGGGCTGTGGCTCAAGTGAAAATGGTAACATGGGGAAGCACAGCACACCCCAGACAAATTAACAGACCACTTCAGAATGCTGAAAAGAACAGCATTAGTTATATTAGTTGCCATTTAACAGCAGTGTTAGTTGTGAAGCCTTTTGCAAAATCAGCATAAATTTTGCTGTGGTAACTTTTAAACAGCAAACATTGCTGTTGGTCCTAAACTAAACCCTGCTTAATCCTAGCCAGGAGCCAGAGGATATCATGTGGTACAGACATCCTAGATTTCTGTAGCCTACCCTAGAATCAGTGAAAAATTGTGTGCTACATACAAATTCAAAATGACAGCCATTTTAGGTGCCAATTGTCCATGTCAAATGATTTATGCCTGAACCCTCATTTAACCCCACTACTTATGCTGCTGTAAGCATACTTTTGCTGAAGCTGTATGAAATAAACAGCATGGCTGTCTTGCCTCATCTGTACATATATGTCACACATGACCTCCAAGACATATCATCAATAACTATTTCCATGCAGCACATAACTTTTTGGGAAGTTGGAGAGCATCCTCACATCATGGAGATCTCACACCAGTACAACATTTTGCCTGTAAACTTGCAAGAAGATTAATGATTCAAATACAAAATTACTGACATTGCTGTTGGTAGTCTTTTGCTCACTAAGTCCGACAGTTGCTTGTTTTATAATCTGGAAGTCATGTAAGAGGAGCATGCTAGGTGCATTATAATTTGGTTTTAGTGGGCAGCAGATGCGTTATCCACTATCCTGACTTATGGTGAACATGTGACTCGCCTGCCCAGCTACGGCTGGTGAACATGTAACACCTGTCCAGCTGCGGCTGGTGAGCATGTGACTCATCTGTCCAGCTGCAGCTCAGTGAAAATGTGACTTGCCTGCCCAGCTGTGACTGGTGAACATGTGACTTGTCCTGTCCAGCTGTGGCTGGTGAACGTGCAACTTGCCTACTGGACCTGTGGCAAGTAGGCATGTCTTGACTTGCCTGCTGGACTGTGGCAGGTATGTCGCGCTACTACCCGAGCCGGGGTATGAGTCGCGGTGGCCGCGGCGGCTATTACCAGAGCTCGTACGGCCGCGGTGGGAGCGGTGGCAGTGGCAGCGGCTACTACGAAGGCCGGGGTGGCAGCAGCGGCGGCTTCAGCAGCGGACCAGGGCGCTACTATCCGGATCGGGACCGACGCGAGTCGGGTGCAGGTCAGCGCCCCACCTATTCCGAACCACGCCGCCCCATTCTGTCATGACACCCTGTAGTGAATGGGAATGAAGGTGACTGCACTGCAAGCAACTGCATGGTGGGGAAGGGGATGCAAGCATTTGCTATTGTATGCCACAGTTGTGAGTTGTGGCTGCCCCATCATCAAGACAGAATCAGGCATGACGTCAAGTTTGTGATGTCATGAGTGGTTACATGGTTGAGCTAGTCCTCCCCAGACAAAAGGGTCTGAGATGCAGTCATGGGAGCTTGTGGCCACAGGTGTCTGCAGCTGCTGAGGGCTTATTGGGATGGAAAGGAGCATCCATGACAACCAGGAAGAAAAGATTTGTTGACAGACACAGTGTGGGGCAAAGTGGTAATTATTTCAGGGAATCAGGTTATTGTGAAGCAGCAATTTGCCACGTCTGCAGACATTTCATGAACCAGCTTTCAAGGAAAGCTTAAACTGCAAGTGTTAAAAGGGGGATGTTTGAGCCTTACATTCAAGGCTTCATGCATGCATAGAAATGAGATGAACAAATTCATATAAGCACAAGCTCCATGTTGCATTCTGCAAAGTGTGGCAGATGTTTGTATGATCTCATTGTGGGAAGGTTGTGCCAAAGAACTAAAATTTTGAAAACTGTCCAAATGGGTGATATGTGTTGTTTCCATTCATTTGTATGAACTCTAAGTAATACCAGGAGCATAGTTTCATATTATTGAATTACCTCAGCCCTTCCAACTCAAGACAACAAAGGCAGGAATAAGTTAAGCCATTTTCCCTGCTCAGCCTCTCAAGCTGGTTTGAAAGATTGCACCCCTGAGCAATACCTTACTGAACCTCGAAAATGAAGGCTGACAGGAAACTCATGGAAGGTCGTGGTTCCCAATGCTTACATTGGCATCAATACAGATAATGGAGTAGTTCTTGCTGGATCTCAGCTTAATCCTAAGCTGTATCTGGGTTCCTGCTGGATTTCCACATGTTTGAGCATGATCTTGGTTCTTGTCAGATGTCTTGAGATAATTCTGGCAGGATCGTTTGACATCATGCCGCGCTGGATCTTGGTTCTTGCTGGTTTCTCAGTTTGCTGTCAGACTGGAGCTTGGTTCTTGCTGGATCTTTCAGCTTATTGTCATGTGGACCTTGGTTCTTCCTAGATTTTTTGACTTCACATGAGGCTAGATCCCGGTTCCTGGTGGATCCCTTAATTCAAAACCAGGCTAGTTCCTTAGTCTTGCTGGTTCCGGAGCCAGGAACCAGTTCCCGGGAGAAATGTTGAGAACCAGGCTCATGTGTAGACATGGACACATCTTGATTCCTTATAAATAAGAAGGGTACCATTTGGTAGGAGCATTCAAGTTTGACAATCGACGGAAATGTGAGTACAAGTACGCAACATGTAGAACTATTCACTTTTTGTCGAAATCAGCCAGGGCGAGCGTGCCTGCAGATGTTTATGTGCCAGCCATTCTAAGGAGAGAATTCATGTGCTGATGCATTGATGGCTGAAAGCCAAACATCATCCAGTTCTTAGAGGGATTTAGAGAGAGGGAGAGCACACTAACATATGCTAAGACAGTCAGGGCGCTCACTGGCATGTTACGAATGGCTTGCTGGCTGACTGCCGAGTCATGACTGACTGACTGGCTTGTCTTGAGAGTTTACTTTGATGTTGATATGTTTGTCAAGTTTCTCTTTCAGGCATACACTAACATATTTTTCTGTTAATATAGAAGATACATTCTTAAGTTATGTCCGGTATTGATTTCCTACTCTTTTGCTGATGATGTCACTCTTAAATAATGGCAGTCACTATGTCAGGTCATTTAAGGTTGTTGGAGGTAAAATTTGTCATATCAAAAGACGTTGAAAGTCTAGGGGCGCATGAACACCTATTTCATCCAGTTTGATAAGTTGCTCTCCAGCGCTATTTGCATCTGTGTACCATAGTCAGGTCGTGGAAACTCTATTGCATACAATTTTACTTTAGCGCCTTCTCAGCCAAGGACCCACAGTGGATCTTACTCCGCGCAGTAAAATGGTGACCTTAGTAGTATGTTTAAAACAGACATGCCGGGGACAGGTTCCACTTCTCGACTTGCCTTGAAATCCCAGGAAATGTGGCTTACACGTCCTCAAACTCGGCACGCTTGGGCAGAGAGCCGGTGCGCTGTCAGAGTGGTGGGGAGCGGCTCCGCCCCGACAGTCAGCACGGCTTACCGCGCTGACCGTACGCTCCGTGCAGGGCTGCCGTCCAGCCACCGCACCCAGCTGGAGATCGCCAAGAAGCTGGTGGACACGCTGATGCAGACGTCAGGCGGTCGGCGCCCGGCCGACCACTACGCCGGCAGCAGCGGTAGCGAACCGCCCTACAAACGGCCGCGCGACGATTCGTATGACCGTGATCGGGTGAGTACTGCGTGTGTGTGTTTTTGTGTGTGTATGTGTGTGTATGCGTGTGTGCGTGTGCGTGTGTGTGCGCGCGCGCGTGAACCGAGTGGACAGAGGCGCCGGCCAGAAGGGCCGGGCGGCGGCAGCGCTGGAGGGCGGACCGGCGGCGCTGGATGCGAGCAAGACGGACGGTCAGCTGGGTTGCAGTCGGCGAGGGGCCGGGGCACTCCTGGTCAGATAATCCAGGCATTGTTTTGCCATGGCTTGCTACCTTGAGACACACGGAAGCCGTTTGGATGTACTGAAGACAATGCATTGCAGGCGTGTCCATTTTGGAAGAGAGCGGCGGCAATGAACTAGAGGCGCACGGGAACAGTCATGAACATGAATATTTGTTGACATGTTTGACCTTTGACGTCTTTGCAGCGTGAATATCTGACCATGTTTGCCGTCGGATTGCAGCTATTGAATGTGACAGCTCACAGATTCAGGTGGTTGCCTGGAGTTGTGCAACTTGTTTGGTTGGTTGACCTTCGAGTTGCTCGCGCTGTAGTATGGTGAATCTGATGAATGTCGAAAGCTGATGGAGAGCACAAGCAGGTTGAGTGGGGTTCAAGGTGTGCACCAGAAGCCTTGCACATTAAGCGCTCCATTGATCTGACCGTCATTGAGCCAGAGCTTTTGTGAACTCTGCGGACGGCCTGGATAGCCTCAGTTTTTGTCAAAGGGGCGGTGGCAGCGGATGGTGATGCACACGGGTTTACAGCTGGTTTATAGCTGTTGTACGTGCCTACCTTGATTGAATGAGCGGCCCCTGACAACTACTGAGCGAGCCCCAAGCACTGGCCGGCGGCGGACGGTCGCAGGGCGGACACCGCGCCGTCCGGGTCGCCGGCGCGCGCCTCGAGCGGCCGGCGACGGGCGAGAGCGCTGGTTAGCGCGGCGGCCGCTGCCTTGCTAACACGCTGTCTCTTCGCCGGCGCGCCGCCCGCCCTGTCCGCTCGCAGTCCAGTTCGATGCGCAGCCGTCATTCGGACTACCACTACCGGCGCGACGATTACCAGGAGCGCCGGCGCCACGACGAGTTCCACGCCCCCATGCGGCGGCCGTTCCGCGCGCGCGGCTACGCGCCGCGCCGCGGTACGGGCTACATACGCGGCGGACCGCCGCGGCGCCCGTTTGGCGACTACGACGAGGACCAGTCCAGGTACGGCGCACTGAGGTGCGCAGACCGCGCGCCGGAGCGCAAGATTTGGCGACGGCCGGGCGGCAGGCGGGGTCCGCGTTAGGTAAGGCGGACGCACAGAGTTGCTGCTGGCGACTGACGAAGCGGCCCAGACACGCTGCCGCCCCCTGGTGTAGTCCCAGCGTGGCAGCGGCACAGCTCACAGTGGTGGCGGCTGACGACTCTGCAGCAGTCCGTCGCTGTGTGTCCTTAGTCTCATTCCGGGTATTTCGGATCGTCGCACTTCTTGCAAATGTCGCTTCTATGACGTCTTTCACTAACGAAGAGCAGGAGCGTTGTCGTCTAGTGGATGGGACCGTCGGCTCCCACGTGAAAGTCCCGGTTAGAGACCCGGTTACGCCATGGCGGGGGGTGCTTACATGCCCGCCATAATCGTTGGAGTTGCGCAAAAGGGTTCGCAGCGATGAGCGAGGCGTTCCCTTGTAATGCAAAGTACTAGGAGGGCAGTGTCGTAAAAAAGGACGGAAAACTGCTCTGGTTCGTGGCGGCGGTCCGGGCTGGACAACATCACGTGCGTTGCCGCTGTGGCCGAGGCATGTGATGTTGTCCAGTCCAGACCGGTGTTCCATAGTGCAATACGTACGTCGCCACTTTCGTCTTTGATTTCGGCTTTTCTAGCTTCTTCCTTTTTGTGTGTATGAATGTCATATTAAGCAAAAAAATAATAATAATCCGTCCGGCTTGCGATGTACCTGTAGCTCGCTTTGTGATCTTGCATGTGCGCGTTAGGGCGGGTTGTGAAAGGCGTCGTCAAAAGGTGCTCATCGCCTGCAAGCTATGATAGGGTGAACGCAGGAGGCGTGGTAAATTTCAAATAATTGAAGCTGTCATTGCCGAATAAGACGCCGAACGCGGCAGGTACTAAGCTGATTGTTACAGTGTGAAGAGACCAATGGACCCTGACAATCGAAACATGCAGCGTGAGGATCGAGACCTTGAAAGCAAGTTGGCGCTGGATTTGCGCTGGGTGCATTGCGACTGCGCGCCGGAATGAAGCTGTGTACATTATGTTTTTATCCAAGGCCGTACTGGTGCATCACAAGTCGGACTGCTCAATGCTTCCTGCCGCCTCGACCATTGTCGGCTTCATTCAATCTTGGTGTTTTACACTAACTTGGGTCCTGTCAAGTACGATAGCCAGTCAGCCTCATAACTGTTGGTACTTACTATTTTGCTGAACTGCTGGCGAATGATGTTTGCCCTATTATGGCCAAGTGGTTCATACCACCTGACCACACCACTCACACTCACACACGCCGCATAGTTTTCATGGTACTGTATCATGAAACTGCAGTTGCATTTGCAGTAAAACTGCAGTTCCCCGTATGCACCACGCATCATACGTGTGTGTGTACTTACAAGTCAGGTAAACTACTACAGCCGTTAAGATGAGCTCACAACGGCACCCGTGTGGTATCCAGGCACGCTGGCGTGTAACTCGGGCTGTATGGTTTCAGGGACCGGTCCTTCGACGGTCGCCGTGATGACGCGGTGAGTAAACGGAGGCGCTTTACGCCGGGTGTTTGATTTTATTTGTGGGCTGCCTGATGCTTTGTGCCGGAAGATGACGAAGGGGAAACTATTTTGTTTTTACCCCTCACGAGCACAGGGAGAATATGTGTGGTGTCGGGCCGAGAATGTATGTGTCAATCGTCTTGTTTTCTTTCGGTCTGTTCGTCCGTTTATTATGTTCAATAACGCTGTTTCGACCCTGTATGTGGCTCATCGTCAAGATTAACGCTTATATTTATGTACCTTGGCATGGACAGGAATCTTGTCCGGCGGACATAACTAGTCCTCTCTGGCTCCCGTCCTGTTCGGTTCAATAAACTGGTTGCACCAGGGTGCCTACTTCTTGCCTGGCGATCCTTGTTTGTCTTAACATTTGGGTGGAAGCGGACGTCAAAGTATGAAGGGTGTGCGTTGTAAGTGGTGCTTTTTGCTAGTCTCCCTGTACAATCGGCGTATTGCGCTGCTGTCGTCAGACCGTGTAGGCGCCAGTAATCGGCGTCTGGTCAGACGGCCACAGGCCAGTGACCACGTGGGTGCCGTTTCAGCGCTCAAACTCGACGCGTTAATTCCAATGTCATGTACCAGATTAACGCTAAACGTTTTCCGAGACAGAATGCTGCGAGTTGGAAGACAAGGTCGGAGTCTGGGTATCAGAATGGCTAGACTGTCGTTGCGGCCGAGGCTCTCCGCGACCCCTCCGCTTTCGGCCACGCCATCCCGGTGTCTGACCATCGAGTCCCCGCGGCCCACCGATGTGGCCCGGGCGGCCTCACCCCGGTCACCGGCGGGGAGCGGCGGTCCCGGCCCACCGGTGTGGCCCGGGCGGCCTCACCCCGGTCACCGGCGGGGAGCGGCGGTGCCGGCCCACCGGTGTGACCCGGACGGCCTCACCCCGGTCATCGGCGGGGAGCGGCGGTCCCGGCCCACCGGTGTGACCCGGGCGGCCTCACCCCGGTCACCGGTGGGGAGCGGCGGTCCCGGCATCAATTGAATGAAGTCGAACATCCCGGCCCACCGGTGTGACCCGGGCGGCCTCACCCCGGTCACCGGCGGGGAGCGGCGGTCCCGGCCCACCGGTGTGGCCCGGGCGGCCTCACCCCGGTCATCGGCGGGGAGCGGCGGTCCCGGCCCACCGGTGTGGCCCGGGCGGCCTCACCCCGGTCATCGGCGGGGAGCGGCGGTCCCGGCCCACCGGTGTGACCCGGATGGCCTCACCCCGGTCATCGGCGGGGAGCGGCGGTCCCGGCATCAATTGAATGAAGTCGAACATCCCGGCCCACCGGTGTGACCCGGGTGGCCTCACCCCGGTCACCGGCGGGGAGCGGCGGTGCGCTGCCGACCACCTGGCCCGCGCCACGTCTCACTGCCCGGTCCGACGCGGCTCCCCTGACTGCCGCCTGGCTGCCCGCAGCCGCGCGTGTACCCGCCATCCAAGCAGCTGGTGACCAAGTGCCCGCACTGCCACGCCCGCTGCGCCACGTTCGCCGACTTCCGGAAGCACCAGTTGGGCCGCGAGCACATGGACGCCATGCGCCGCGTGCTGATGCGCATCCGCGGCGAGCTGGGCAAGATGCGGCTGGCGCAGCGCGAGGAACAGAAGGAGCTGGAGGCCAAGGAGGCGGCCAAGGACCCGGAAGCATTCGACAAGCTGCCCACCCAGTTCTGCACACTCTGCCGGCTGCAGTTCAAGGTTAGTGGCTCCGAACGCTGCGAGGACACGTGGTGTGTTCCCTCGGAGCGGCAGATGCACACGCGCTGTTACGTCATGCCGGTGCATTGGGCTGCGTTCAGCTGGGGCAGAAGAGAAGATTCCTGGCAAAAAAGGTGAAACGATTCAATCAGTTAAGTATGGACAGCTTTGTACGGTTGCTGCGATCGCTTAAATTTGTTAAATGGACCAACCTTCGCGGTTCTTCCAACAGACGCTCAACGTAAGAATGGAGCCAAGCCATTGCTTTGCATAAAATGACTGACCAGCACAAGTTGTGGCGAGAAACAGAAATTTTCCGACATTCAGCTTGTTACTGCACTCGAAACGCAAAAGAACGCCGTGCAGGTTTGAGGCGGATGATCGTTTAGTCGTCGGCTTTATGCGGTTCAACGCCCGCCATCTGTAATGCTAAACCTGAAATCGTTCGGTCAAGCAGGGTTAGGGCAATAGGTATGGCACAGCGGTGCCTCCAGCCAGCTGGTGTATCATGAGAAGGATGGGCGGCGCACAGTGCAAGATGGCCGCTGTTGTCGACGCACTCCTGAGCCAAATACCTTCACATCTGACCAAACACGGGTCGCTCTTTTGTGAGACTGAAAGCCATCCGGGAAGCGAGGTTCAGAACTGTCTATGCATATTAAGTATTCTTGACGATCTGTTCAGGTATAGACAAGTGATGAACTATGACTCCTCTGATTAGGAAACGGTCTGTGTGAGGTTCTGGAGCCATGGGCTGGGCGTTATGTTCACCAGAGCGAGGGGCTAGGGCTGCGTGTTGAGTTGACCAGTGCGAGATTCTGAAGGTAGGTGCTGCATGTTAGGTTGACCAGTGCGAGGTTGTGGTGATAGGGACTGGGCGTTATGCTTACCAGAGCGAGGTTGTGGAGGTAGGGGCTGCGTGTTGCGTTGACCAGTGCGAGCTTGTGGCGGTAGGGGCTCGGTGTTGCGGTCAGCTGATGAGCGCGCCACCCCGGTAGCCGCTGTTGATGGCCAAACACTGGCAGTGGGGGCCCGACAGTGGACGGGTGGCCCGGCGTGACGACTGCTGACACCGTCTTCCTCGGAACGCAGTGCACGGAGGGGACAAACCACAACGAGACCGAGTGGCATCGCAAGCAGCGTGCCTACCAGAACCCGTCATGCAAGATCTGCAACATGACGTTCCCGGCTCGGATCGCCTACGAGAAGCACTCCGGCACATTCACGCACATTCCAGAAACAGGTAGCCGTCTCTCATCTGGCACCGCTCGCACCGTTCAGCGTCTTGCCTCGAGCTGGTAAACGGTCACTGACTCCTCTCAGTCGGCCATATCGTGTTAGTGCCACCCCGATGTTCGTTTGTATGTATCGCTGAAGTCTTTTGCTCGTATTGTTCTATATAGGTGCCGGCGCCGCCCGCCGACGCCGTGACCGTGCGTGGCCGCGCGCTGCCATTCACCGCTTGATCTCAGTCGTGGGCTCGGCAGGGCACGTATATGGGATAGTCGGGACAATTACCAACCTACCGGGTCGTCTTTGTGGCTTGCTATTGGCTGGTTTTCATAAACAAAACCGCATGATGAGCTTTTAAATGTAGGGTTACGTCCCAAAGAAGTAGACCTTGCGCAAATTTGGATCTGTATATAATTCACAAGTTGCACGAGCCGTTGAAGCCAAATGGTGTATGGTTCATGCTTTCATGCACCAATTAAGCGTTGAGTTTGTGTATTTTGTTAGGACTTAGACAATAGTTTTTGGTGAACCAATCGAATCCGGATTCCAACGTACCATTAACTTGGCAGATTCATGCTAATGGCCATAGCAACCAGTGGTGTTCCCCAGGCTTTGGTCCAATAAGCCTAAATCCTACAAAAAGGACTTGTTATCAGAATGGGCCGGACAGGACGTTGTTCAGCCGTATACTGCCAAAAAAGGACGGATCTTCAGTCCCGGGAGTCCTTGTTGGTCTCCAGGGACGGGCAGCGGCCACCCGAGCCTGCTTGGTTAGGCTTTTGACGACCGTCATACCCTCGGCGATATGGACTGAACTGTGACGTGTGTGGCGGCAGAACATGTCGGAGCGTCGGGCGGAGCGCCGCGACGAGGCCGACTTCCAGAAGGGCGACTTCATGACGCTCGACTCGGTCGGCGACGTGGACGAGGAAGGCGAGCGCGAGGAGGCGGCGGCGCGCGACGACGGCGCCCGCGAGCGGCCGCAGCGCACCGCCACGCAGAAGCTGGCCGAGCTGGCCGACTACGACGGCAAGCACGCTGTCGGTGCGTCCGATGCAGCCGGGCTTAGACGGGTGTTGACTTGTGCATGGGCCGTGCGGGTCGCGGTACCTAGGTGAATAGCCATACCCGTCCGATGATGAGGCCCTGCGTCGTTCCGTGTAGAGGGGCCGCCATATGGCCTGCTGGGCGTGTGTCAGCTCTCTTCCCCAGTAGTATGTGCAGTTCTCTCACGCTGGTGAGCTGATGTGCCTTATTTACGCTGGAGCCAGGAAGACGGTAGCTCAGTGGCATGTTCCGCATGACTGCTTTCATTTGAACCGCAGGATCGAACTACATGCGCAAGACCGAGGTCTACCACTGCGGCCTGTGTGACATCTACATCAAGATCACCGCCAAGGTCAATGCCGTGCTCATCAAACACTGCATGGGCAAGAAACACTTCGAAAACTATCGCAAGAAGCTGGCCAAACTGTCGGAGAAGGAGGAGGAGGAGAAGAAGGCGGCCGCGGAGGCCAGCGCCGGAGCGGAGGACGAGAGAAAGGTCAGTAGAGGCTAGCGCCGGAGCGGAGGACGAGGGAAAGGTCAGTAGGGGCTAGCGCCGGAGCGGAGGACGAGGGAAAGGTCAGTAGAGGCTGGCGCCGGAGCGGAGGACGAGGTAAAGGTCAGTAGAGGCTGGCGCCGGAGCGGAGGACGAGGGAAAGGTCAGTAGAGGCTGGCGCCGGAGCGGAGGACGAGGGAAGGGTCAGTAGAGGCCAGCGCCGGAGCGGAGGACGAGGGAAGGGTCAGTAGAGGCTGGCGTCGGAGCGGAGGACGAGGGAAGGGTCAGTAGAGGTCAGCGCCGGAGCGGAGGACGAGGGAAGGGTCAGTAGAGGCCAGCGCCGGTGCGGAGGACGAGGGAAGGGTCAGTAGAGGCCAGCGCCGGAGCGGAGGACGAGGGAAGGGTCAGTAGAGGCCAGCGCCGGCGCGGAGGACGAGGGGAAGGTCAGTGCCAGCCTTGGGGGCGCGCAGGCCGTCTTGCGGCGGGGCGTGTCGCTAAGGTGGCCGTTGCGTCTGGTTACTAGCGGTCGCTCCAGACCGTCGCTGGTGTCGGGAAGTGGTGTGGAGTGGTGGATGTGCGCCCCAGCAGGTTACTACGCAAACCCAAATCAAAACAATAAGTAATGGATAAATGGACCCTTCTACGCGCCGTCATATTTACTTTTCAAGCCGTGCAGAGTTTTTGGCGACGGACTTTTACATTAGCGTCGCGGTGTGACCCGCAATTGTTGCGTCCCAAAACAACCCGCTCTGGTGCCCTGACACAAGTTCGGCTTTGTGACAGTTTAACCAGGTGCCACTAGAACGAATTGGTGAAGATCTCTTGTCATAATGTGCGCCTTACAGTGAACATAGGTCCTTTGCTTCGTCCTTGCTTTCATATGATTGCCTGTGTATTGTTTGCGTGCGTGCGTGCGCGCGTGCCTGTGCGTGTGCGTGTGCATGTGCGTGTGCGTGTGGGTATGTGTGGATGTTTTGTGTCCTTGGGGTAGGCTGATCGGTAGGGTAAGGGATTGTAGCGTGGTAGTGTTCGGGTAAACCTTGAGTACGAAATTAATTTGAAGGAGCCCACGATGTGGGACTTCATGGAAGGGTTCAGTTGTATCTAAACATGGGCTTCTCTTCTTCAGAAATGCAAAGGTTTGCCACATGGCACGCTTCCTCATGCAGCTCTGGCGTGGGTTCATTTACACGTCACTTCGCTGACTTTTTTTAGACCTACCGTCTTCGGTAGCGTGGCGAGAGGGCCGAAATTTGTTCAGACGCTGTCCATGTGGCTATTACGTTCTAGGAAAAAAATGCAATGAACCCACAGCCGCTTTGTCGTAAATCGCCTCGGCTCTATTCTGCTCTACGCTCACTAGCAGCCCCTGGTGGCCGGCCCACGTACCGACGTCTCCGCTGTGCTCCACCAGGAGGAGGGCGAGCTGCCCAACACGCCGAAGCCAAACGGATTGGAGGAGGCGGGCAGGCCGGCGGCGGCGCGCGGCGCCGAGCCGACGGAGGCCGAGCCGACGCGTGAAGAGCCGCTGCCCAGTCGCGCGGACGACGCCGCCTGGGAGCAGATGGACGACAACTTCATCCTGGGCGACGACCAGGAGGAGGAGCCGGACAAGCGTTCTACCGAGGCGGCCGAATAGGCGGCCCCGGCGCCGCCGAGGGCAGAGGGCATGTTGGGCGCCGACGGGCAGTGGGCTCAGAGCAGGCTGGAACCGGGAATAGGATGGGTGAGCTGCTGATCGCGGTGTGCGAGGACGAAGGGTACTGTTGGGTGTGGGTGCTGGCCGTGTAACTGGTTTTGGTGACGATGCGGGCGACCGGCGGGTGCGAAGTGTTGCATGGCGGTCGGGGCGCGCTGGTGACGCGTGAGGGGGCTGCGTGAGCTCCGGCAGCGATGCGCGCGAGATGAGGGCATTGCAAGTGCGCGGTGTTGGACGGCGAGTAAGTCCGGGAAGATCGCTCGGCAGTACGGCCTGTCGTTGGAGCCGTGGGAGCCGGCGAGTGGTCGTCAGATGGTCGTCAGACGTTCGGCGGAGCTGTCGGTGGGGTGCCGAAGAGGAGCCGGATGGGTGTGTGGATGGTGCTGTAGCTCCGGACAGCTCGGGGGAGGAGGGAGGGCGGGGGGACGAGGGTCGACTGCGGACGCGCAGTGCTGACATTGAATCCCAGCTGTTGTGTCGCTACACTCGAAAGTGTTCGAGACGGGGAGGGCTTGACGGACATCCGTGGTGGGCGGGGGTTGCACCCCTGGCGGGAGGAACGTCAGGAGGTGTGGTTATCGGTATATTTTTGGGTGCGCTGTCCTCATATGTGGAGGGGGCATAGGACCGCTGAATTGTGTGCTTCGCATAAGCATTCGTGAAACAAGGACGTTTTTGTTCCCCTTGGGCTCTGTTTTTAGTTTAAGGGACTCGGCATTTTCTGTAAATAAATGAGGAAAGTACTTTGGTGTGTTGCTAAGTGACTGAGGCGCGGTGAATACGGGGCGAGTTTGTTCCTTGCTCAGCTGTTTGCCACATAATGCGAACGCTGCGTGGACCTGGTAGTTTGGAACATTGTTAATTGTCACAAAAGCTAAGCTGCCGGGTCCTATAACGCCAGCATACAACCAGCGCTGCTTGGCGTGAGCTCTGATCCCAGAAATCCATGCGTTCAAAAGGCTTTGATTAAACCATTTAGCACAAGTCTTGCAAGGGCACGCGCTCTACAACACGAGCATACAGGAAGGTCTAGTATCGACGCCTTGAGTGATGCGGCCCATGTCCCGTCCTTGACAACATTGTCCTGCCGTCCCACCAGATGTGCTTGCTCATTGGCTCATTTTGTTTTAGTCATTCTGGTATGCGTGGAAACTGTCCAAATATGTGGGAATATTTCCTTCCTTTCGTGCCCGAGATACAGGATAGCGCCACGAATCTCTCGCTCATCGGTGTTTTTGCTTATATCCTTTTGGTGTGACTGACTTCCTGGCCCCGAGAAGTATACGGTTCACCCGAATATGCAGGAGGAATGCCGGCGGGCGTAGGAAACATGGCTGCCAGCCTGAGCATAGGTCCAGTCTCGAGGCTGAAAACACCGCGTGGTTCTTGGAACTGGTCTCGTGAGTTTGATATACAGGCTGCATGCACTGTGTCATGCATGTATCTACACTTGGCATGCATTTTGCAAACGGCGTTCACTGGAACGGACCCACATGGTTCCGTCGACAACCTCATTTGGGATGAATGACATGCGTATTTGTTACAGTCACCACCCTTCTTGAATGTGGGTTTTCCTAGAAACTATGTCGTCATACGCTGTTTTATTTCAAGCATGCGGTCAGCGGTTCGCGTTGGCTAGAACATATCTAGCTGGTCGCGTCAGGACCGTCTCAGTTTCGCCGCCGCTCTGGTCATGGACCGAACGTGATCCGTAACGGCCACTTGCGTCGACGCCGGCGTCAGTGTCCCGACATGGTGCTTAAGCTTTGTGACATAGCTTATAGACAGCCATAGCATAGACAGCATAGACAGCCATAACATGACATAGCTATATAGACAGCAAGCTTATAGGACAGTCGAACCTCTGCAATGCGGCGGCACGGTTTTTGGGATTACATTTTGATAAGCGTTTGACCTACAAGGAGCATCTTATCATTCTGCGTGATAAGTGTTTTAAGACACTGAACACATTGAAATGCGTGGCACGCATATCCTACGGAGCAGATCGGAAAACACTTCTATTGTTATACCGTTCACTGATACTCTCCAAGCTGGACTATGCGTGTTTTGTTTATGATGGCGTCTCGGAGTCCGTAATGCGCACATTGAATGCGGTCCATCATGCTGCGTTGAGAATCATTGGTGCATTTCGTACGTCTCCGACAGCCAGCTTGCTTGTGGAAGCCAACGAACCTTTGCTGACTACCCGAAGGCAGTTGTTGGGGATGCGGTACGCTTGTAAGCTCGCGCAATTCCCGAACCACCCAACACATGACGCTGTGTTCTCACGCCACACATCTAGTGTTTTTCAGTGCGAACAAGCTACACGTTTGGCGCCGTTCTGTGTGCGCGTTCGTAATGATCTTCATGAGAGTGGCTTAAGTTTTCGGGGTGTGGCACGCCCACGTAGCCTGCTGACCGCTCCGTGGGTGATGGTACCGGCAACTGTCGACGTCCCATTGTCGGAGGTTCGGAAGCAAAATATGATTCCGTATGTTGCCAGATCAACAGCTCTGAAGCAAATCGAAGCATATCGGAGGTTCACAATTACGTATACAGACGGCTCCAAAACGGATATGGGTGTTGGTTCCGCCATTGTGTCTGGCCCCGATACCCGATCATTCACACTGCCAGCCCATGATTCCGATCATACTGCAGAGCTTATGGCTATCATTAAGGTGCCTTGCTTTATGGAGGTGGGTGAAGACAGTCTGCAAGTGACTTTGTTGGACTCCCCAAGTACCCTTTCAGCATTAAAGCGCTTTAATCCGATAAATCCCTTTATACAGGATATTTTACTGCGTCCCGACTCTCTGTACCGGGCTGGCAAGACCATAGTACTTTGCTGGATTCCGAGCCACGTTGGCATTGCGGCAAATGAGCTGGCTGCCGCTGCCGCAGTGTGCTACTCTTCGTCCCTGCCGCAGAGCGTTTTCGGTACCCGCTACAGACCTATACTTGGCCATCCCTGCCTTTTTGCGTGGGCAACGGCCGAGCACATGGGATGCGATGGGCACCAGTAAACTGAAAAACATTACGCCGATGGTTCGGGAATGGCAGTCATCCTTTCGAAAGTCTAGACGGGAGGAAGTTATCCTGTGCCGCTTGCGGATTGACCATGTGCATGCTACACTTCGATTCTATGCCTACTATGTTGCGACGAACTACCACGGTGTCGCCACTGTAGCACCACGCTCACAGTGAAACATGTGCTTGTATGCTGTCCCATACTACGCTTCGAGCGTCTGAGGTACTTTGGCCCGGCAGCGCCGTCCCTGACGCTCTATGTTAAGTTCTGCTCTTTATATACACCTGCCTGAATAGTTCACACCGCGTGTAGGAAGTTTGTAGGGTGCCGAAAACTTCCTACCAATATGTTATTGTGGGTTCACGTATCCGGGTATCGTTGGTGACGCGTTCCCGTCACAACTCAGCGGTTTTCATTTATGACTAATATATATTCTTAGCCATTTACCGTCGTAGGTAGTCATTTAGCTGTTACGGGCGCAAAATGACCACAGGAGTCGGCGCGCCCTTAAACTCCAATCAACAACAACGATCCTTAACGGCATGACCAAGTTCGACTACACCCGCTCATCCGGCTCTTCAGAGCATCACTTACGCTCCGCCCAACGGCCGGCCAGGATCTTATTGACTTCTGGCCTTTACGAATGACAGTAACGTCCGCCAATGGCAGCTGCCACATTGTTAACATTGTCGCACGTAGGCCACGCGCGTCATAGTGAGCTCTGGGCATACCTCTAGCCTGTTTGGGATATTTTATGGGGATTATCACGAGAGTTGAGGGTTGGTGGTCAGTGAAGGCTGCGGCTGTCCACGACAGCGTTGCGGCTGCGCTGGCCGCTGCATCGGTTTGCTGTCCGCGGTGTCGTGTGTCCAGGTGAAGGCTGCCGCTGTCCGCCGTAGCGATGCGGCTGCACTGGCCGCTGCATCGGTTCACTGTCTGCGGTGTCGTGTGTCCAGGTGAAGACTGCCGCTGTCCACCATAGCGGTGTGGCTGCACTGGCAGCTGCATCGGTTTACTGTCCGCGGTGTCGTGTGTCCAGGTGAAGGCTGCCGCTGTCCGCCGTAGCGATGCGGCTGCACTGGCAGCTGCATCGGTTCACTGTCTGCGGTGTCGTGTGTCCAGGTGAAGGCTGCCGCTGTCCGCCGTAGCGATGCGGCTGCACTGGTCGCTGCATCGGTTCACTGTCTGCGGTGTCGTGTGTCCAGGTGAAGGCTGCCGCTGTCCGCCCGTCCCGCACCGGTTCACTGTCTGCAATGTCGTGTGTCCAGGTGAAGACTGCCGCTGTCCATCGTAGCGATGCGGCTGCACTGGCCGCTGCATCGGTTCACTGTCCGCGGTGTCCAGGTGAAGACTGCCGCTGTCCACCATAGCGATGCGGCTGCACTGGCCGCTGTATCGGTTCACTGTCTGCGGTGTCGTGTGTCCAGGGGAAGACTGCCGCTGTCCGCCGTAGCGACGTGGCTGCACTGGCAGCTGCATCGGTTCACTGTCTGCGGTGTCGTGTGTCCAGGTGAAGACTGCCGCTGTCCACCATAGCGACGTGGCTGCACTGGCAGCTGTATCGGCCCATACTGAACGCTTCGTACTGAACACGCGACAGTGAACTGAGAAATTCATTTCTTTTCAGTGACTTTATCTGCAAGCGGGCTTGTAAGACAATATATTTGTGGCGGTGGTGGTTGAGTGGTTGGGAGCTCGGCCCTGGACCTGTCGGTCCTGGGTTCCGGTCCTTGCCACATCACCTCCGCTCTCACATGGTGCCTAATTAAGCATCCTCGAACTGACCCTGGCAGTCGTTGTGACGTAAAGCCCCAATAACAACACAAGGTCTTGATTGATGGGTGATGGTCTGTATGCTGCAAAGAGCACAAGCCAGCTCATAAGAAAAGATGATCGTTTCAACTGTACACCCTCAAGTGCTGTAAAGAGCACTAAAGAGGGCCTACGGCCGGAATGTCTCCTGATCGCCCTACTGTTATAGGAGCTCTCTTCTTCTCTATATGACGTGCATGCCAACAATCATTAAACATAGTCTCCAAAATGTACGCTACCATCCAGCGGGCCCCTCGAGGGCTCAAAATACATTTATGGGTAATTCGTGCCAAAGCTACACCCAACGGTGGCTTTAAACTGTTAAAACTACCATAAAGAAAATGTGACAGCAAGCAGACCTTACCAGATTTGCAACACGAGCTAATTTTTACCTGTGCACATGATGGATAGGAAAAATCATCGAAAAACTTGCAGTGTCGGCTGCGCTTACAGCGTGAGAACGGCCGCCCGTGACTGCAGCGTGGAAGGGGCTACCTGTGCCTGCGGCGCGAGAAAGGCCGCCTGTGCTTGTAGTATGAGAAAGGCCGCCTGTGGTTGCGGCATGAGAAGGGCCGCATGTACTTTCAGGGTAAGAAAGGCTGCATGTGCTTGCAGTGTGAGAAGGGCCGCCTGTGCTTGCAGTGTGAGAAGGGCCGCCCGTGCTTGCAGTATGAGAAGGGCCGCCTGTGCTTGCAGTGTGAGAAGGGCCGCCTGTGCTTGCAGTGTGAGAAGGGCCGCCTGTGCTTGCAGTGTGAGAAGGACCGCCTGTGCTTGCAGTGTGAGAAGGACCGCCTGTGCTTGCAGTGTGAGAAGGACCGCCTGTGCTTGCAGTGTGAGAAGGACCGCCTGTGCTTGCAGTGTGAGAAGGGCCGCCTGTGCTTGCGGGGTAAGAAAGGCTGCATGTGCTTGCAGTGTGAGAAGGGCCGCATGTACTTCCAGGGTAAGAAAGGCTGCATGTGCTTGCAGTGTGAGAAGGGCCGCCTGTGCTTGCAGTATGAGAAGGGCCGCCTGTGCTTGCAGTGTGAGAAGGACCGCCTGTGCTTGTAGCATGAGAAGGGCCACCTACGCTTGCAGGGTAAGAGGGACCGTATGTGTTTGCAGCGTAGGAAAGGCCGCCTGTACTTGCAGCATGAGATGGGCCGCCTGTGCACACAGCGTGAGCAATGGGGCTGGCACATTCGCGCACTGGTAGTCGTTTCACGCTAGCGGTGCTTCTGGCGATTCTCCTGTCCACAGTCTTGCGCTGGCACTGAACGCCAGCCTGGGACTCCCGAAGTGTTGCCCAGTACCGGCCGCGGAATGTTGATACGTTGCCGGCGTGTGGTAAAACCGGACGGTGCAAAAGCCGTCCAGCCGAGTGTCGGCTCAGCAGCGACCACTGAGAGACACGACCACAGCTTCCGTGTTGCTTGCCAAGTGTTGCTGTGGCCAAAGCGGCCCCCGAAGACAGTTCGGTCCATGCTCCTTGCCACTTGTTTCGTCAAGCAGTGACTCGTATTTGCCAGCAGGATGGATGTTTGCGAGCGAGCATGCCACGGCGAGGCTCAACCGATGAACAATGATGGAAGTCGGCAGACTTGTGCTGGACTGACCGGGCGCGGGAGTCGAATCGATTGTGATCGATTTCACACGTGAAATCAACCGTGATGCGTATCAAAGGCAGCTGATGGGAAGTCAGTCGGATCGTTTCGACTTGGACAATCACAGTTTGATGATTGTAATTGTGGCTCTTAATGCCAATCGATTCTTACGTAAGTTGTTAAGTTGGCTACTGTTATTTGTTTCCATAAAGCCATGTTTCCGAAATATCAACGCATTTATATCTCCATTCTCCTTGTTTTCTACGAGGAATAAGGCTTTACTACTCTGTTGCCAATTGACTCTTACTGAGGTTCCAACATGAAATCTTTTTGCTTGGTTTTCGCTTTTGCATCTCATAAGGTGCATGCAAGAGGTGCATCTAAAACAAACCAAGCATAAAAACAGCGATGGTGATGCCCTAGTACGTCGAGGGCAAAAGAAATAGCCAAATCATTAATGCAAAATGTATCTTTACTATAGCCGACCAAACTTGGAAGAGTCTTAATTGTCACCTGGAGCCAAATCTGTCAGAAACCGTTGCAATATTATGATAAATGCGATAAACCACACGACACAAAGATGAGTGAAATGCAATGCAACATATTACTGCAGTGTCTACAGTTGCTGTGTCTAAAACGATTTATGGTTTTTCATAGAGACGAAATTAAGATTTCTCCGCCTTTACACTTCACCTATGTGAAAGTTTTAACTCCCTTATCCAGAACCACCGACCAAAAATCAAATAATGGATAATATATGTCATGGCCTAGTTCACATTGATGGGGTATATGTCCTCATAACAAATCGTGCTTAGCTGATCGGTTGATTATTTCGGATTTCGGGCACTGAAAAAATTTCGTCATACGACAACCTTGCTTAGTGTTTAGGAACAATTCTGCTTTTAGTGCCGCTCGTGGAGCAAGATCGCGACATGTAATAATTTGTATGTGACGAGATAAGAAGTTGGCCCCGTTATGCCAAGTCAGAAGTCAAATTTTCGCGAAAAGCCCGATTTCATCTACACAGCCTTGCACATAACAGCGGATGTATTGTAGCGACACACAACCTATAAAGGCGTGTTTTTTGTTCAATTATCGGTGCAAGGGTGAATGCTCTAATGTGTTTTGATCGTATCTTAATAATATATGGCTTTGTTGGCCTAACAATGTCGGCCGCCGCGCGCGTCCCGCGGCGCTGTCGGGAGGGGGGGGGGGGGGGGGCAGCCCGCCGCCCGCGCCGGCCGTAGATCGCCGTGGGTTGTTCACCAAAAACTGCCGCTGCTCCGAAACCAGATAAGCTAGTTACACGTTTTTGGTGTCAAAACACACGTGATGCATTTCCCATAGGCTATCAAAAAGATTGGGCGCAATTGCACAAGGTGCCGGAGAGGTGTTCTTAGAAGACCTTGGAGGGGAGGGGTTGCCTCATCCCCCTATCAGAGGGAGGGTTAAAAGTTTGTGCATCTATGAATATCGGGGAGGTAGTTTCGTAAATAGTCCATTTCAGTCAGATGCTCTTGACAACGACATCGGTTGTATCAACTTTCCATAAACTCGGCACGATCGGTGCATCAAAAAACATACGAATCGTGTCGAAGCACAGCGATCAATCCGCAAACGCAAGGACTGTGTCGATGTGCAACTTGCATCACATGTAGTCTTTGTCGCCTAATGTAAACGCCGTGTTCCACCTTCAAGGTGCATCAGAAGAAGACCCCGAATGTGGGGACCGAGTGGAGCAACGCAGCGTCCGTGTTGGCCAACAGAGGTGCGGCGGCCAAGCCGGCTGGGTGCTGTCGCTGCCGCAACGTCCGCTGGCAGCCGGTCACCGTTGAGACAACCTTCCCCCCCCCCCCCTCCTTCCCCTCCGGCGCGCCCCCTGCTCCAGAACGGCAGGCGATTCATCACCACTGCTCGCCCCGGAAGGGAGATGGGGTGCTGGAGTGCCCGTCCCACTTGGTGCAGCTGGTCGGCGCTGATCGCCACGTGAATTTCGTTGACTCGATAACCGGAAGACTGGAGTGTTGCATGAGTGTTCTGAAAGAACCAAAAGTTTTGACCTACGCCCTTGACGTCAGTGGATTCGTCTTAACGAGATCCCGCGCATAGGGATAAGTTTTATGTTGTTAGGCCAATAAGTGACCCCATTATGCCAGGTCAACGATCAAATTTTCCCGCAAACTATTTTTTTTCACATTTGCACGCTGCTATGTCTCAGACCATGTCTTATAGCGACACAAGCCTTAACCCGCGCCCCAGAGGTGAAAAATCTTCTAATTTACCGGATATGATCGGCGACAAAAACGAACACTTTTCCAAGCCAGATGGTGACAAAATCGCGAAAATGGACTGAAATTACAACAGTCTAAACCATCCTACGGCAGACCATCCCAGCTAGGTGAAGCTCAAAGCTTGGTATTGGTCCGTACTCGCCAACGCTTGCAGCGTGAGCTTGTATGGAGCATTATTCGAAGCGTTGACGTTTCGCTGTATGAGGAAGTTAAGCTACAAGATATTGCCAAACATAGTAGCTTTAATCAGGGTTGTTTTTAGCAGTTGACAGAAATATGCGACAAATCGTACTACATCAGTGCTGCGGTCATAGATTGTGATGACACGGTGTTTTTCCAATGCATCTCAGATCAGCGCTCTTTACAGATTTTGCAGCCAAGATTCAGTTCACATACTAAACAGCACAATAGACTAAATATATAGGCTTATTACTAGTAGTGAGGATCGTGGCTGGCCACAGCATCCTGCAACGAAAGTGCTCAGTTTTCTATGCGGCGCTCGGGTGGGGGTCGGTTTGACCCCCCCCCCCCCGAAGGGCTTTCGGAACGATTTCCGAACGATGGGGCGTAGCCGCGCCAAATTTTGCATAGCTATAGACAATTAGATAGCAGATCGTTAAGTATAAAAAATTTAGAAATATCTTTTAAGGTCGCTGACCTACGGCAGGTCAAAGTCAGGTTATGGGTTCAGGGAAGTTAATTTCCAGGGAATCGTGCAATCTGATACAACAGCACAGTGTTAGACGAAGCTGTGCATCTCTGAAATGCTTTCGTAGGCAACACAATAATTGAATGAACACTTTCCATTGAACTTGGGTCAATTATGGAACGTCGCGTAGATAACCCATTAAATATCTGTCCTCGAAGCATTGGAATGCGAGATGCGCGAGTCCTCACGGAGTGCTTGAGAGAACAAATGTGTCGTTGAATATGCATGGACATCAGAATCTGACGGTGTAAAGCTCATTAGTTGACCTATATACTCTTTAGTTTGCCGTTCTACGTGTAGTGGCCTTGAAGCCGATCTGATTTATTGCATGCTTTGATGTCCCAGAACTTTGAGAGGAAAAGTGGCACCGTTTCGGTTGAAATTCCACCACGCACGGGCCTTAGCTCATTAGGCCCGTTACATTAGGCCTGTAAGAGGAAAATAATTACCTAGTAGAGCATAGCTTTCAGAGTGTGCGCGCGCGTGCGTGGCTAAAGCAATTTGTAAGCTACCTTATAAGCCAGAAAGTTTGCAAACTCCTTGGGTGGCTAGAGAATTGGCAAACATCTTAGGCAGTTTGGAAACTCTCGAGTTAAATTGCAAAATTTCGAGGGCATTTTCAAAAGAGATTCATATTTCACATGCTTTGTGAGTGGCTGTAAACCCTTGGACATGCAAAGGAGGGTAGAGCATATGGTCAGCTCATAGTTTTCACCTGCGTTAAAGCCCAAACATGTGAATAAATACGGACCAAGGAGGTAGTGAATATTAGGTGCGCTGAAAACATGCCTCGGCGCAATGAAGGGTACGGAATTGCTTGCGCTTCGTGCGCAATAACTTCTGAATATGTTAAGTTAAACGCCACTGTCTACCCTCGTGACGAAGTTCTACATACGCCACTGCCTACATTGCTCCCTTTCTGTGCGCATGAATTTCTTTTGTTCAAAGGTAAAAATATCCGTGCAATTGAGTGTTTGAAGTGAGACGCTTGAAAAATAAAACCACTGCTGCTGTTAGTTTCGCATCACCCCTTGATTTTGCATTTCTTTCATTTGCTCGACTGTCACCTCAAACTGAAGTCACTGGAGTTCACATTTCCCTGGTCTTTTTAGAGCCGTCAAACGACGATATGCCATTCATGCTTATTTATCATTTGACGAAGCACCGCTATGACACCGACTGGTACACATTAGCCTCTATATGACACATTCGCACCGGCCCACACATCTGTTCTGGCGCACACATTTCACGAACCCTTCATCCGCGCCTCCCGACCCGGTATGCGCGGCTTCTCTCATTCCTTCCTCATCTGGAACCTGATTGCTTCGTAAAAGGTTTCCACGGCACGGAACTACTTGGGGCAGGCTCCAGCCTCCCACCAATCATTCATATTTTTCCCGAGTGCACAGCAGTCGTCGACGACCTGGAACAATTAATATTGGTAAGTCATCCTAGTAAAACATCCTT